AAAAAAAAGTGAGGTGACATAAAAAGGTAAAATCATGGAAGATGCAGACCCAGCTATAGACTTTAGCACTTGAAGTTGGAGCTTTAAAACGTCTCCATTTAGTGGGTAAAAAGAGCAAACCTGTTTGAATGAAATGAAAACAAAGCTCTGGCAAGAAGGAGATAAACATTAACCAAGCAGGCAGCGGGAAGTGCAGTCCACCGCGCTGTGCCCACCTGAGGTCCCCCTCTCCCCACCCTTTGCTCTCCTCACGCTTCCCCCTCTTCCTACCCCTCCCCGCTGTGCCCGAGACGGGGGACGGGGCGACGGGGTGGGGACGTGATGGGGGGCGGGGGGGCGACTGCGGGGGTATCGGGGCGGGGTCTTGTCTAAGGGGTGCAGTTCCTGCCACCTGGGGTCACCCTCGGCCCCGCCCAGAGGGGAGAGGGCTGGACAAGGGGACTGGTCGGAGGTCTTCTGGGGCCCAGGACTCACTTCCTTGGGCTCACCTGTAAAACGGGGTCCCACCTGCCCCGCTGGATCCGAGCCCCCTGGCAGGGAAGTTGTGTCCACTCTGAAGCCCCACAGGGACCCAGCTGCCATCGCCCTAGCTGGACCCGTCCCTGCAGCTTCCCAGGAGAAAGCCGGGGGGCACGTGGGACAGGGCTGGGGCCACTGGAATGTGGCCCAGCTGAGCTGACCAGCCTGTGCCATCAGATAAGTCACTAACAAACCCTTCTGGCCTGTGTTCTCATCTGTGCAGCCGTCCCAGAGCGTCCTGGGGCCCACAGGTTAGTGCACACAGAGCTCCCAGCGAACCAAAGACAGATTACCAGTTAACTAGGTTAGCAGCAGAAATCAGGACCCCATATTTAGGTCCTAGGGTAAAAAGGGACAAGAACCCACCTCACTCCTCAGTATTGGAGTGAGTAAGGAGCCGCTGGTCTGTGGGTCACGGTACAGGACGCTGGCCTCTGCCAGCGCGGCCTTACTGTGGTACCTAACAGTGCAGCAGAAGTTGTTTGCAAAAAAATAAATAAATAAATAACTATAAAAGACCCTACCATTTAATTCTTGTGTCTTCCAAGGTTTAGTGGAAACTTACCGATAACTTTAAAAAAAAAGGGACCGGGCGGCAGGGGCTCAAGCCTGTAATCCCAGCACTTTGGGAGCCGAGACGGGCGGATCACGAGGTCAGGAGATCGAGGACCATCCTGCGGAACACGGTGAAACCCCGTCTCTACTAAAAATACAAAAAACTAGCCGGCGAGGTGGCGGGCCCTGTAGTCCCAGGTCACTCGGTGGAGGGCTGAGGCCGGAGGAATGGCGTGAACCCAGGCGGAGGCGGGATGTGCTAGGTGAGCGGGAGATGCGGGGCCATTGCCCACTCCAAACCTGGGCCGGGGCAGAGCAGACTTCACCTCAAAAAAAAAAAAAAAAAAAAAGAAACGTTCTCGCATTTAAGTGGCGGTAAAAAGAGCAAACCTGTTTTGAATGAAATGAAACAAAGCTGTTCTGGCCAAGAAGTGAGATAAAAACATTAACCAAGGCCAGGCAGGCGGGAAGTGCAGGTTTCACCCGCGCTGTGCCACCTGAGTGAGAACCACTGCGGGACAGGGTGTGATCACAGAGGACAGACTGAGTTCGGGGATGGAAGGGTCGTGCACCGAAGGGGGGGAGGGCGCGGTGACCAGGGAGGAGGCCGCGTGCACCCGGAAGGAGGGGCGTGACCGGAGGAGGGCGCGTGGACGGAGGAGGCGCGTTGACCGGAGGAGCGCGTTGCACGAGAGGGTGAGCCCGGAGGAGGGCGCGTGGACCGGGAGTGAGGCGCGGTGGATCCGGGGAGGGATCGCTGCACCGGGGAGGAGGGCGCGGTGCCCAACCGGGAGGAGGGCGCGTTGGCCGGGAGGGAGGGCCCGCGTGGGACCGGGAGGAGGGTGCATGGACCGGAAGGAGGGTGTGTGGACCACGCCTGGCTGCAGAATTTCTCCCGGGGGGAGCACACGTGCATTCGGGTACTGGATCCTTGCTCTTGCACGTCCACTCCTTGGAGCAGCAGCAGCGTCGGTGACCGTGCAGGGACCCCGGGCTCCACTCAGACCCGCAGGGAGTGTCTCCACTGGGGAACCCGCCCTCCCCAGCGAGCAGAAGCCCTGCAGAGACCTGTGCAGGGGGCAGGAGAGGGGTCCAGGAAAGGCCAGAACCCGCCAGCGTGGGCAGGAAAGGCCAGAACCCGCCAGCGTGGGCAGGAAAAGGGGAGGCTGGGCTCAGGGAAGGAGAGGGATGATTTGAGAGGGACAGGAAATTAAACCCAAGGGAACTCCCTCAAACCAGTAACATTTCTTCACATAATTAGCCCCGGAGACAGGAAGGGCTTGTCACTAGCAATGCATTCAGGAGCTTTGAGAGTCGTACTGGAACAGGCTTTCCTTCTCACAGGTTCCAGTTAAAAAGGTCAGAGTGGGCTCACATGGTGTTTCTTACCTGTTTTTTGTTGTTTTCTTTTTATTTGGAGACCAACGCCCCCTTTCTCACGCTGGCATCAAAGACCCTCTGGTAACACAGCACATTCTGTCAGACTGTCAGACAGGCTGAATTAAGTATCATTTAATCGAGCAATAAAAGTCCAAAGGGAGGCTGCCTGTGGGAACCCGCCCTGAGGATCTCCTGCAGGACGTGCAAGCAGATGGCACCGCAGCTGTGGAAAAGGAGGGGACAGGCAGTGACCCCAGCCAGCCACGAGCCCGCCCCACACATTTGTGCAGGGTGCAGGCCCAAACCCACAGGTATGTGGACAGTGGGCACCACACTGGAATGGACTTTGCCAGGAAGCAGGGATTTCCACCTGCTATCCTGAAAGATGCCTCTGCCTGCACACCGTGGATGGGCATGGAGCTGGCCCGCAGCCCTCGGGGGACAGACAGACAGACAAGAAGCCAGAACGTCTTCTCTATGAAAGCTTTCCGCCTTGGCACACAGTAAACCAATGCAGCGAAAATACAGAGGACAAAACCCCAAGATGTGTGTGCCTTCAGAAAAGGCTAGGGCGCATTCTAAAGTTGAGGCAATTCAAGAGGAAATTAATTCAGCGGAGGACAAAGGCCCAGAGCGGCGCATCACAGGCTGCCCGCGGTGTCCTGCTGGGGCCGAGCTTGTTAGGGCCAGGCAAGGCCTTTGTGCTCCACCAGCTTTCACAGCCTCAGAAGCCCAGTGGGGCACAAGGAGATGACGTCACAAACAGGTTTCCCTGCGAGCGCAGCAGGAGGAGCAGAGACCTCAGGGACAACTCCCATCAGGGCGTCACGGCCTACCAGCCAGCAGATCCCGCAGGAGCTGAGGCTGCAGGGAAAGCCGGATGGACGCCGCACGGTAGCACACCCACAGACTCCGCACCCGTGTCTGGGCTCTGCACTTGGATGGGAGTACGGCCTGCGTCTGTGGATTCCACGTAAGTCGTGCGACACAGCGAGCTCAGGTATCAAGCACCTGGGAAGCCGTGGCGCCTGTGCCTGTGACCCCAAAGGGTGAAATCCTTCCAGGGCATCTCCGTGTGGTCACTGTGTCCTATAAGCAGTTTAGGAGGGTTCATCTGCTTCCAAATTGTTCCAATTTCTCCACTTAGTGTTGGAAACTTTACCATTGGAGATTAAACGCTTTATGTGAAAGCATAGCTCCCACAAAGATGTCCGTAAGGGAAAGAAAAGGAGTGACCATATCTCAGGGGGAAGACACCTTTGCGCTCGCCTTACACAGCCGAGGAAGGCGGTGACAGCGTCCTCCCACCTACAGAGAGAAGACCACAGGGCCCCCTCGTAAACCTGTAGCCACCCGGGTTTGTCTCGGAATCTGTCCTTCTGTGTTGGATACGTTGCAGGCAGACTCAGGCCTGGCCTTTCTGGAGTTCGGGGCGGCTGGAGGGAGCAGGACAGACCTACCCTGGCCTCTTCCAGCCCCCAAATCTGCACAAACCCTGCCTAGACAAGACAGCGGTACTGTCCCTCCCTCAACCCCTCCTCCAGAATGAAGGCACCGAGGTCTTGGCTTCTCAGTGCCCAGGTGCCATCCGGCTTTGCCTCATGGGCTCCAGCTGTACAGGGAGGGCTTCCTGCCAGTCCTTGTCCCGAAACCTCTGGCCAGGGTGGTCTGGCTGGCTACAGCCCACAACTGGCACCCAGCACCTGGAATCCTCACTGGGAAGCTAAGCCGGGCAGGGGCCCTGCGTCTGTGTCCAGCCAGCCCCACGGTCACTGAGTCCTTCCTGCACCCCACACCCCGTGCTGGACGCAGGGCTCGGCCCGGAGCAAGGCAAAGTGTCTCACTTCTTGGACTTTACGTCTCAGTAAAAATAGACAGAAAATGGGTTAATGAACACAGACACAGCCTCAAATCGGGGTGAGATTCATGCCGTGAAGGCGAAGAACGCAGACCAGGAGGGTAGGTGTGGCAGTGGCCTGCGTCAGGGCCCGCTGGGAAGCAGAGCCAGACAGGACCCAGCCGTCCCACGAGGGCCCGGGAGCCGTCCAAGGAGCGGGAGGCAGATGTGGGTGTGTACGGAGACAGAGCCAACAAGTATCGCCACCTTTTGGGGAGAATTTTGCTAAAACAAGGTGAGAAACAAGAGCTGAGCCGGGCTGGGAGGGTCCCGGAGGGTTTCTGTTGAGACTCTCCTGCTGCTCCGATGACTTGGCCGACTTGGCCGGCAGGAAGACAGTGATGCCGCCACAGAGACGGCGAGAGGTCGCCCGGCCGCCACGGCCCCCCCTCCCCCTGGGGCGACAGTGAGAGGTCACCTGCCTGCCGCGGCCTGGTCTTCTCTTAAACACTGATGTCTTAAGAAGTCAGGAAGCCATGTGAGATGAGTGAGACACTGATTTTAGCCCTACGTTTGTGCGTGCTGCCTCGGCTCATCCTCTGTGGGGCGGCTCGCCTGTTGCTGTGTGTCTGGCTCTGCCCTGCCCTGAGCAGGGGGCCCAGTGGCTTCCTGGATTCCTTTGCGGGTTGGGGACGTCCCGGACCCTCTCGGTCCACTGCAGTCACCCAGGTTGAGCCACTTGGACCGATGGCAAGTGAGCTCCCCTGGTGGGTTCCAGGTTGTCATCCGAAGAGCAGCCATGGCCCTAAACACCCCTCCAACCCCACCCCACCTCCGTGCAGGCCCGGATCCACCCGGCAGGCCACTGCCCTGCAGGCCGCCGCGGCTGCTGCCAGGTGTGACTGCCCTGAAGCCGGACGAGGCACTTCCATGGCCCCTCAGAACGGAGTGTTGGGGGTTGAATCGTGGCTTCCGAAGACAGGTGTTGGAGTGCTAACTCCCAGTGCCTCAGAACGTGACCTTGGCTGGAGACGGGGTCTTTATAGAGGGGACCAAGCTAAAAGGAGGTCAGTGGGGCAGGCCCTGACCCCAGCGCCACGTGGAGCGCGCCCAGAGGAGATGCAGGCAGAGGACGGGGCGGTGCTTCCACACCCAGGGAGACCTGGGGGTTAGTGCACAGATGAGCCTCTGCAGTGCACTCAGGAAACACATATTTCACCCACGCGTTTGAGATAGGGACGTGGCTCTTCTTCTCCTAGCAAACAACTTTTGATTCCAACTTTTATTTCTTCTCCGGGCTCCATCCTCCTTCTCCATCTCTCTCAGTCCCAGGTGCTGCTGGAATGTCCCCTTTGCTGGGACACCGGAGGACACCCGAACAAACCGGCCTACCTGTCAGAGCCTGGAGGCTGCCCCAAGCCAGCATCTGTGGTTCCACATGAGCTGAGGGCCATTTTATGCCGGCCTCGCTCTCCCTCCAGCCCTTCTGGGCTTGGCCGGCCTTCCCCCATCCCCCCGAGCCCTCCCAGCAATCCTGTCCCAGGTGAGAGAACGAGGCTGGCATGGAACAGCCCTCAGTTGACGTAGGGGAGCAACGGATGCCCTGGGCGGGCTGGTGGATACCAGAACACCCTGGGGACACCTGAGGATGCCCCGAGGACACCTGCGGATACCCCAAAGACACCTGAGGACACCTGAGGATACCCCAAAGACACCTGAGGACACCTGAGGGTACCCCAAAGACACCTGAGGACGCCTGAGGATGCCCTGACGCCCCGAGGACACCTGCGGATACCCCAAAGACACCTGAGGACGCCTGAGGATGCCCTGACGCCCCGAGGACACCTGCGGATACCCCAATGACACCTGAGGACACCTGAGGACGCCCCGAGGACATCTGAGGACATCTGAGGATGCCCTGAGGACACCTGCGGATACCCCAAAGACACCTGAGGACGCCTGAGGATGCCCCGAGGACCCCTGGAGTATGGAAAGGTAAAGATAAGCCCACATGAAGACGCTGAGAAGCCAAGGAATGAGAGGAAAGCATTTCGGAGAAACCAGGGAACGAGAGGAAGGCATTTCGGAGAGAATCCAGGGCAGCTGTAGGTTCATTCACCCCACAGATGCCTTTGGAGCCCTGCCTGTGCGCTGCCTGTGAAAAGTAGCCCGTGACTTTGTGGCGTTCAGGAGCCAGCAAAAGTCCCGTGTTTAGAATTCCAGCCTGTGAGCCGGGGACCCCACTGTCCGCCCCCGGGGTGTTTCCCAGGTGGCCCTGAGCTGAGACTCCGTGGGAAGCAGGTGGCTGAGCAGGGAGAGGAGATGTGGCCAGGTGGGACTCAGGCACTAGCCACCAGGGATGCTCTGGATTTCACTCCAAGGCCCCTCTCCAGGAGCCCCAATGGAGCCGGGATCCCAGCAGTTGGACCCTGGTGGCATTTTGTTTTTGAAGTTGGTGTTTCCAGACAAGACACAAAACTGTAGAGTATGACACAGCCAGGCCGGGTGGGGACTCAAGAGAGGTCAGGGTTGGGACGAGGCCACAACCTCTGGGCCAGGGGGCATTCTGGGGGCTCCGTGGCAGCACTCAGAATTCTGCCAGGGCTGGGAGTGGCAGGGGGCAGGGAAATGCCATCTGCTTCAGAGTGGGAAAGACTGGGTTCAGTCAACAGAGCTCAGGAGGCTGAAGGGCCTGAAGGAGCCTGGGGTTTGGTCAAGAGGGAGAATTGGGATGGAAAGGGGGCACCTAGACCCCAAGAATGAAGTGGCAGGCGGGGGGTTGGCAGAGGTCAGGGAGGAGCTCCTGGTGGGGACGGACCAGAAGGTTGGGAAACCCAGTCCTGAGTTTCTCAACCTGTGCAGGCTCTGGAGTCCAGGAAGGTCAGCACCAGGGCCCTGCACCTGGCACACCTGGTATCCCTGCCGGGGGTGGCGGCCGAGGGCCCACACCACCCACACTGGGTGACAAGTCACCTTCATCCCACACAGAAGCACACTGCGGAAGTGTTCTGACTGTACAATTTCTAACAGCAGAAAATGTACACACCGCTTGTGTGATTTTCTTTATAAAGAAACTGAAGCAGATTTTTATTCTTTATTGCGAGCAGATTCAGGTCTCCTGCTTAGATAATCTAGAGAAAAGTCCAATATAATATTATCAAGTCAGTTTATCTACAGAAATAAAAGTTAAAAACAGGAGCATACAAAATAAACTTTACAGAAATGTTAGATTTGGTTTAATTTATATTTTAACTTTTCAAAGCAGATTAATGAATTATCAGTTAAATGTTACTGTGTGGAGGCTTGATTTATGTTAAATGCACCTACTATGTTTAATAATTTAAAAATAAACTCCAGTATTTATGATGATGACAGCTATGGATACCATTCATATTAAATACATTTTTGAAGACCTTCTTTTATTACATTACCTAATGAATAGACATTTTAAATGGTAACGCAGACATTATAATTTTAAGTCAGACACAATATATGCATATTAAAATTCTGTATACTTTGATAAAGTAAAAAATAAAGCTATATAAATTGATCTTTAGATTTTTTCTGCAAAAGTAGAATCACACTTTCATGACACTTCTAACACATCCCCATCAAAGCTGCTTATAGACACAATATCAGAAAGATTTTCATTCCAGTTCACCCACCTTTAGCTTAAAAAAAAAAAAAAGATTGCATTTACCAACTGACCTTTTTCTCTAAAGTTACAAATGGGTAACTTCCTAAAGAAATGTAGGATACAAGGACCTGCATATCAAGCTGTTAGACACTGAGCTGCCAAATAAATAATATTAACATTAAATAAAAGTGGCTGCATTATTCAATACTAGTCAGTGCAAAACACATAAGCTGAGTGGTTTGAAGAACAAGGCTGGAGGTTTCCTGCTACGGCACCGGACCCCTGGCCAAGGCTCAACTCAGAGAAGTCACAACAGCCTGTCTAGACATTTGTTTAAACGCTCAGCAAGCCGAGCGGATGGTCACCCTGTTGGAGAAGCTGCCGCATCTGGCCTCCTCCCTCGAGGCGGTGTGGCCTGCTTGTTCGCCCCGTCTCCTCCGACGCAGGCCGGGTTGACTGGGGCTTTAGGAGGCCGCGGCCCTTCCCAGCTGGCTCGTGGCAGAAGACCGGCCGTGCTCCCTGACGTGTGCAGGGATGAGGTGCGGCGTGGGCGTGGCCGGTCCTGCTGTGGCCACCTGGTAGAGGGCTGATCCAAGGGGAAGTTTCAGCTTGTGGGGCTGGACCTCCCTGAAGGGGAAAGGACCTTGTCCAGGGCACCAAGCGCTGCTCACAGAGCAGCTGGTGTAAGTGAAGCTGCGACCTCACCCCGGGCCCGCTCTGCAAAGCCTAGACATTCTGCCAGGAGGGGGACTCTTCATCCCAGGGAGGCCTGGGCTACGAGCCCCATCTTCCCATGCCCGGCCAGAGGCCCCTCACAGGGGCCCTCAGGAAGGAGGCAGGATGCAGTGCGGGACACCAGGACAGTGTGGACTTGCTTGTGGCACATGTGTGTATACGTGCATGGATGTATTCGCGTGTGCGGGGCCTGCACGTTTGTGGTGTGTACATGTGTGGGAGCTCACGTGTGTATGGTGTGTGCACACGTGTTTACGTCTGGGAACTCATGTCTGTGGTGTACACATGCATGTGCATGTATGTAGGAGCCTGTGCGTGTTTGGGGTGTGTACATGTGCATGTGTGCATATTCGTGTGTAGGAGCCTGTGCATGCTTAGGGTGTGTACATGTGCATCTGTGCTCATGTGTGCAGGAGCCTGCATGTGTTTGTAGTGAATGTACATGTGCATGTGTGTGTATGCATGTGTACAGGTGAAGCTCATACGTCTTTCTGGTGTGCATACACACGTGTGAGAGCAAGCCTGTAGGAGCTTGTACATGTGTGCTTACATGTACATGCATGTATCACATTCGTGTGTAGGAACTTACACCATTCATGGTATGTGCACATGCATTGTGTGGAGTGTGCACAGGTCTGTGGTACGTGTACACATGTGCATGTACATGTATGTCACATGCTTTGGTGTACATACACGTGTGTAGGAGCTCACACTTGTGTACATGTGTGCATACATGTGTGCGGGAGCTTGCATGTTTGTGGTGTGTACATGTACATATGTATGTGTGTGTTCCCGTGTGCAAGCCTGCAAGTGGACATGGCTATGAGTGAATGTGGAGCCAAAAGCCCGGGACACACATGTAGCAGGCCCACTGTGCGTGTCTGAGACGGTCTGTGGCAGGGACTGGGCGTGAGTCACACAGCAGGCCCACTGTGTGTGTCTGAGACAGTCTGTGGCAGGGACTGGGCGTGAGTCACACAGCAGGCCCACTGTGTGTGTCTGAGACAGTCTGTGGCAGGGACTGGGTGTGAATCAGCGACTGTGTCTCTGACTAACATGCTGAATTACAAATTGATAATTTACTAACCTGTGCAGCAGCAAATAAGATTTTCAAAACTCGACAAAGTGCTCAAAGTTGACATTACTTGCTTCAAAGTTAGTTTAAGGCAAGTAAATACTAACTACTGTGAGGTGGAAAATTGTGTGAAGACCTTGTGACGTCATTCACTGACGTCATCCTTTTAGTTTTTATCTCGTGCCCCTTGTCGATTTCAAATGATCAGGTACATTCATTTAATAATTTCCCAAGCAATTTTTTAAAAGACGTTTGGGAGTGTGTAAAAGTTTAGTGACTTTCACACTAAGACTTGTTGTCAGAGGTACATGGTGACTATCTCCACACAGGCAGAGCTGGGACCCAGCTTACTAAACCTTCATGTGAGAATCTTCTATTTTTAAGGCTGAAGGATGGAAATTAACAATGAAACACAGAAAGCAGAGGAAATTGCAACAAATTGTAAAGAAAAAGTATAGCAAATTATCGTACCTTAAATATGCTGTTTAACTAATCACTGCCACCAGAAATACCAAGAAAGGAAGAGGTGTGTGTAGAGAATAAAATCAAATCTGAAAATTCACATTCATCAGAGATTGGAACATTCAGTCAAAACTCTCACCAGAATCTAAATGTAAAGTGGCCAAAATTACATAAACTTAAAAATGAAAGCTTTATAAACCTATTTTTAAAATTAGACAATATGTTAAATAAATGAATAAAAGATATATAAACAGCTATGAAAATACTTCAGTGCAAAGGCAATTTTAAGATTTCTAAAAAAATACATTACAAATAATTTGTTAACTGAACATACAGAGAATCTGCCCCCCATACAGGTATTACATTTATGCCCATATTGGGTTCTTAAAAAGGGCTGTAAAAATGCACACACCATCGTTTGCAGGGGTAGCGTGGGCAGGGCTGCCAAGCCAGGGCGGCCGCACGAGGACCTCGGGACACGGTGGAGACCTCCCCGTTCTGTCTGCTCAAGCCAGTTGCTCACTACCCTCATCTTTGGTGTGGTGTTTATTTGTCACCTTAGTTTATCTCAACCACTGTGTTCACTGTTCTTACCGCCGATTTATCCTTTAGTTCAAATAAATATTGTATAGGTAAAAAATTATACAATCAAATGGTGAAATCTGAGCTTCCAAAAACACCTACTGTCGAGCACCTCGGAAACACCCTCTGGGTTTCGCCTGCCGGAGCCCGTCTGACAGCGTGGCTCTGGGCGGGCGTGAGGGCCGGCTCCTCCTCCAGCGTCTGGTACTTTCCTGAAAGGCAGCAGTACCGAATCTCACAATGAAATGTCTTCTTTAAGGACCATTAAGGCTACGTCAAAGATTATTTCTAGAAATAGAAACGCCAGTACAGAGAGCAACAGGGACTTTGTATCACAGCAGCCCTTGGGTTGCTAACCCACCCAGAGCAGCGCTGGACAGAATCCTAAGACGAAGGAGAGCCCTGCGTGGGGACGTGGGGATGTGGGGATGTGGGGACAAGGGGACGCAGAGCCCTGTGGGTGGAGGTGCAGTGTGGGAGGCGGCGCGGAGGTGCAGTGTGGGAGGCGTGCGGAGGTGCAGTGTGGGAAGGGGCAAGAGGTGCAGCTGTGGGAGGCGACGGGCGGAGCTGCAGTGTGGGAGAGGCGGCGGAGGCTGCAGTGTGGGAGCGGGCGGAGCTGCAGCCTGTGGAGGCGGAGCTGCAGTGTGGGAGAGGCGGGCGGATGCTGCAGTGTGGGAGGCGGGGCGGAGGTGCAGTGTGGGAGGCGGCGCGGGAGCTGCAGCTGTGGGAGGCGGGCGGAGCTGCACGTGTGGGAGGCTGGCGAGCTGCAGGTGTGGTGGAGGCGGGCGGAGGTGCAGGTGTGGGACGTGGGCGGAGTGCAGTGTGGGAGGCGGCGGAGCTGCAGTTGATGGGAGGCGGGCGGAGCTGCAGTGTGGGAGGGCGGCGGAGGTGCAGTGTGGGAGGCGGGCAGAGCTGCAGTGTGGGAGGCGGGCGGAGGTGCAGTGTGGGAGGCGGGCGGAGCTGCAGTGCTGCCTGCTGGGATCCACCCCTGTCCTGTGGGCCGCCCCCATCAGCCCAAGACAGGTTCTGGGGCACCAACACCACCTTGGTGGTGACCGTTCCACGGGGACAGAGGATGTCTGCCCATCATAGTCAAGTATCTGTCTCCTGGCCCTCGCACCCGTGAAATCAACATTCTCCTGTAACAGTGGACTGACGGCTCCATGCTCTGGTGAGTGGCCGATGGACATCCTGGCACTTGTGCTGCAGGGCTGGAAGCCACTGACGTGGCCTTGTCCTCCCACATGGCACTGCTTTCTGCACGAGGCGATGATGGGGAGACCGAAACTCAGCCAGCCCTGACACACAGAGCAGGCAGGCTTGGACTTAACCACAGGGAAGCCGCTCCCAGATGAACAGGGCACGGCTGTGCGTCCACAGGGATGACAGTATCCGAGTGACCCGGCCCTTCCCACAGCATGAGGATTGGAGGGTTGCTGAGGAAAGGACGTGCCGCCACAGCTCCACCTCACCCTATGGAGGGCACGAGTGGCGGCCGGGCGAGCAGGAACAGCAGCAGGTGTCCACACATGGCCGTCCCGGGGGCCTGGATGGCTCTTCTCTCCCAGCGACAGCAAAGGCCGATGACGGTAGGTGGGTGAAGACACGGGCCTGGGGGAATGGCCTCTGCGTGACAGCGCACAGGGTGCGCCAGCAGGATGTCCCTTCTGAGTGGAGCCGAATGCCCGGGGGGACCAGTGTGGCTCAACAACTGCAGCGCTGGGTCCAGGCGGCCAGCGTGCCACACTCGAGGGCAAGGCCTGTGACCCCCCTCCTTGCCTCCTGGGGGCCGGGAAGAGGCGTGTGCGGTCTCCACAGGCTTAGAACCATCCATCACACAAGCATCTGCACGCGGGTCCCAGGGCAGCTGTGACTCGGGCTGGAACTGCAGTGGTGACAGGAACCGCTGAGGGTGGGTGGGGGCTCCACGGACACCTTCCCCTTCCAGGCCGCGAGCGTCACCTGCTGAGAGCAGGAGCTGTACCAGGCGGCCGAGGGACAGGTGCTCTGGTAGCCTGGGCTCTGCAGAGAGGCAAGAGGGGTGAATTCTGAGTCGCGGTCCCGAGGCTGTGCGCACCCATTCTGCTGAGAGAACGAGACACACGGTCAGTCTCAGGGATCCCCACGGGGCTGCTTGGGGTGACCTGGGCCACTCTGGGATGCACTCACTACCATCGCCTCCTGCAGGAACTGCTAGACTCAGCTCAGGACACTGGAGAAGCCATACAGAGGCAAGGGGTCTCTGTCTAGGAACGAGTGCCTCTCCTTTTCGGTATCAACAGTGACTGTCCCCCTGTCCCACCATCCCAGGGAAGAACCCAGGGACCCCAGAGATACAGGCCATGGACGGGAAACCTACGAGTTTCCTCCCGATAGCTGGTTTCCTGTGCAGTGAGAGCTCGAACGCTATACCGGTACCCAGAGACCCTTGAATAAAAGGCGAACTCACTGCCCCAGAGAGGGCAGGCCCCACCCCACAGGGACTGAGCTGATGGAGTACTGGACACGCTCAGTTTGCGTCCTGTTGGCATGTTGCCTTGGGTGTCATCACATGGATGGGGCCTACATGGCTTCTGACAGCCCACTGGGGCCCCGGACGTGCAAGGGCCCTGCAGGTCTGACCAGCGAGGGGAGCGGCAAGAGGCTGGCAGCACGCATCTGTCTGACGGGGGGCCGTCCCCAGGTCAGCCCACTTTTAGATCAGCCCACTTTTAGACCGGCATTTCCAGTGCCGGAAATGCTGGCAGGAGCAGGCATCTTCACGGCCTCCATGTCTCTCAGAGAGGCGACAAGCTACGTGCTCCGGCTGGCACACGGAAGACTTGCACTCACACTTGCCTGGGCCCCAGTTCCACACAAACCACGCAATAGCCACGTTTGATTTCAAAGCAGGCTCCTTCCTGAGAGGCCTTTTAGGTGAAGCCGTTTCCCCCAGGGACCAGGACCGTGAGCCTGTATCTGACGAAGCTGGGCCCGGTCAGGCTGCGTGCTGTGTGGGGGGAGTGTGCACGTGTGTGGTTGGCTTGCCCTCAGGCATGTTACTTACCTGGGACAGCAAATGCATGTGTGTGTAAAGAGAGCTGCTCTTTTTCACCGTGAACCTTTGTTATCAAAGACAGCACAGCACAGCACAGCAAAACTTTGGAGGAAAAACAGGTCTGACAGTCACAGCACACGGGCGGCACGCAGCAGCCGCAGTTACCTAGCATGGAGCTAACTGCGCCTTGGCCGCCGTAGGAGGTCCTTCAGGAGGGGCCCGTCGCTGCTCTGTGTGGCCTGGACTGGAGCCTTGTGCTTCACGCCCCTCTGCAAGGCGAGGAAAGACACTGAGCAACGTGGGCCACGCGGGGCTGCTGAGCCGGTGCCCACGAGCACCAGGAGCACTCTGGCCTCCGCCTGCACCATCCGTGGGACCCCAGCAGGAAGAGGCACTAAGCCTCTGTTGGAGTCTGCATGGGGTGTCACGGAGCGGCCAGGGCAAGGGCTCAGGGGCGTCTTGGGAAAACACTGTCCCAGCAGGGCCGCTCCCATGAGGAGCCCAAGCCCAGAACTGAGAGACAGTGACAGGCTCAGGGGCGGGCCACGGCACCTGTGGGAGGCAGAGGGTCCCAGGTCCCTCAGCTGGAAGGTCCACCGGGCACCTCTGGAATCCTGGAGCCACATGTTCAGCCACACACCCACTTCCATGGCAGACAGCGAGCCTCGGGAGCTGCTCTGCCAGGGCCCTGCAGAGTGTCCTGAGGCCAACGTGCTCACAGAGCACTGAGATCTCGTAGCCCAGCCTTATTCAAGGAATAAGGGAAGCGTGGGAGCTGAAGAACTGCGGGCTTGGAATTGCAGAACTGCAGGTCCGAATGGGCAAACGCCCAGGTGAGGAGCAGCAGGAAACAAAGGGTGAGGCTGCCACCCGTCCCGGGGACAGGGAGGGAGAGGCGAACTGCATGCAGATACGCAGAGATGCCAGCACAGACGTATGTGTGCGAATCGCACATACATAGACGTCAGGCCTGTGATGCTTTTCTTTTCCATAGGAACAGATGAAAAGAAAACCATCCACTGGAAGTAAAATATGCCCCACGTGAGGACTAGTGACATGTTTACTCCTCCAAAGTTTTGCAGAACGCAGGTGGTCTCAGCACCACGGTGTGCTCCTGTGTGTGCCGGGCACGTGCTGGCTGCAGGCGCTTTGTGTTCAGGTGCGGACACCGGCCCTGCCTGCGGGGGTCACGCCAGGGCCCGAGGCCTCGCAGGCGGCAGGAAAACGAACCTCTGGGCCACCATCTCTACGCAGCCGGGCTCAGCTTCTGCACATGTTCAGAGGCAAATCAGCTCTCAACAAACTACATCAATGGTTAGAATGCATATTTTTAGCCTAGAGTTGGCATGATTTAATTAGTTTCTTAAGGACCTCCTAGGAGTTATTAAAGTGTTCCTAATAATTTCATCCCTAATGTTTTCAAGTATAGAAATGGTGAGATGAAATTCTGCAATTTAATCTAACAAATTCTGATGACACTAAATTAGAAAAATTTTGATTCCTATTAATTGCTTGGACTTAAAAAAGGACCATTTTGTCAGTTAAAAATGGTGTTTAAAAAATATAGAAGATGATGTCATTAAAGGGAAAAAAAGCCCTTTCTGCTCTGGGCATTTTTCTAGGCTGCATTTGGTAAAACAGTAAAATACCAAACATGCATTTTCAGAGCACCATTAATTTGGAGGCATGCGTGAATGCGGGATTTGGTGCCGGAGCACACGGCTGGAAGACAGAACGTGACTTCAGGACAGCATGCAGGCCCCTGCAATCTCGGCTCTGACCACGGATGCCACCACAGGAAAATGGCATGTGAATGCCTCTACGCTGCCCAGAAAGGCCAGGGCCGTCATTTTTAAAGCATATTATTAACAGAAAGCTTTCAAAGAGGTCTTCATTCAAAAAACAGTAAAAAGAGAATTTGGTCGAACATCTGACACCAAACACTTCTGTCCCCTTTGTCTCCAGTTGTGTGGCTCAGCCTGGCTCCCCTTTTCTGAAATGTGCGTGGGTCCTGAGCAAACCGTGTTATCCTAGCTGTCATCAGTCTTTCCAGCTGCAGAATGGGCACAGAAGTGGGTGCGTGAGGGAGGATCCACACTCTACAGGCTGCGGAGGGCAGGGTATGTGAGCTCAGGGCCTGGATGACCTGTGAATTGCAAACTCTCATACCTTCCTGCTTAGGATTCCTGCACAGGAACCTCTCTGACACCTGTGTGAGGGATCATGTGGCCGGCTCTGTGCTGTCAGCTGTGTCTGAACCCTCACAGGTGGGTTCTGAGGCTGCCTGGACGCTGAGGGAGAAACCCTGGTTAACTGTGACTGATGGAAAGCACAGCTCACGATCGGTCTGTGCATGTGAAGGTGTAAGAAGGTGGTGGGGCTTCCTGACGTGGGGCTGCCGTGCCCAGCGCCTGGCGGACACTGCGTCGGAGCGCGTGGACTCGGGGCTCTGGTGACAGGCATGGCCCTGCTGCCCCGCGTCTACCATCCCAAGCGTGCGGAAGGCAGAGGAGCATCACCTTGTTCCATCAGAAACTCAGGCTGCTGGAAGTCTGAGAAAGCATAAAGATGGTTGACTGCTCGACAGAAAGGCACTGGCTCTTAGTCTGAGTTCCGAGGTCAGCGGCCACGCACAGAGGGGTGTGTGAACAAGGTGTAGGGATTTAGGCAAAGTGGTCGGAAGATGGAAGGAAACAGGAAGGAAAGAGAAACAACAGACAGAGCTGAGTTAGTCAGAGGCTCGCCACCATGTGCACGTTCTTCTGGCCACTCTAGGTGGACACTGGTGCCCCCCGCCATGACCCGCCAGCCCCTCCCACTCCCTGCTTTATGCCTTCTGCAGGTCCCACTGTGTGGCCGTTCATAAGGGTTGCCGAGGCTTTTGTGGGATGCAGAGACCCACAGCAAAACAGGGGCTTCTGAACAAAGGGTGGGACGGGGAGGGTCCTCACTGGCATTCCCAAAGTGCCCCCTGAGACCCGCCCATCCTGGAGATGTGCCGCAGAGCAGAGGGCCTGTGGTCAGACGCGTCTGGGGGCGTGGCCCTCGGCAGCCCCGACTCGAGGCTGCATGCACACTGTCATGGAAGAGCCCAGACTCCTGCGGGGACAGGCCCTCCTGACCCCCCGAGTTCAACTCCTGCCTGCTCAGGCATCTCTGACCAGGCACCTCCGCAGCCACACGCAGCCAGGGGCCAGGTGGGGCCGAGACTCTCGTAAATCTCAAGCCACACCACTGTGGCCACAGCTGGGGGCCCAGGAAACACCCCCAAGCTGGACCTGTTCTCTCTCAGGGTCAGACCCACAGCCCTGCTGTCTCCTCTGTGCCTTGTGTCCTTGTGACATGCGTGTCTGCCATGTCCCCATGTATGGGATGTGGTTATGAACACGTGTTCCATGCACAGAGCCCTGTCATGAACACGTGTGCCCGCTGTGGAACTGCATGGCTAAAGGGCTCAGGAACCAAGGACTGTGCTTACAGAAAAGTACCACTGGACAGCTGCTTCTCGGGCCACAGGCAGGGCTGGGCAGTGGCTGCTTGGCGGCAACGAGTTTCCCCTGAAGCACTGGGGGCTGTGGAGTCTCAACCTGGGCCCTGGCTCCTGCTCCCACTGGCTCCCCTCCCTGCACACAGCAGCTGACATGCAGGTTCTGCTGCGGTTCTCCTGCCTGTGGTCCCCGAGTCAGTGGAGCTGTGTGTGGACATTTTCACTACGCTGAGTGGGGGTTTCTTCACCACGAGTTTTGCTCGCTCTTTTTTACAAACTGTGGCAGGAGGCATGAAGGAGGGAGTGCCGGGAACTGGCAGCATTGGTTTCAACATTTTACATCGGCACCAACGTCCCAAGAAAGCTCTGAAGCCAGGGTCCCATTCTGATTGTTAGAGGTGGGTGGTGGGTGGGGCTGCGCCCCTTAAGGGAGGGTGACCTGTTTTCCCTCCCAGCACGGCAGCACTGCTGGGAGCCAGCCCCCAAGTGTCTGAGCTGCGTGAGTGAGTCAGGCCTGGGGCCCCGGGCCCCCTCGCTTCCCGTCTTCCTCCCAACTGCACCGCTGTGTCCATCCTGGGCGGCCTCACACCCTGAAGCGGCGGCCACTGCTGGGGGTCTCCCACCCCTCGTGTCCACCGGGCTTCAGCACTGCCCAGTCCAGGGCCCCACCTCACGGAGTGATTAGAAATTTCAGGGATGAAACTTGAAAACCCGCATTGTTAACAGAGTCCCAAGGGACTGTGACAGGTGCAGCGGGCTTCCTGGTAAAGCAGCAGAGTAGGGGACGTGGTCACTGCCTCTGACTTGGGGTTGAGCTTGAAGTCAGAGCCCAGCTGCTGAGAAGGATGGAGGGTGGAGGCCAAGTCCTCACACCTGCCGAACCCTCTGCACCTGAGGGGGCACTCGGTATCGTCATGTCTTCCCCAGACCCAGAATTCTGCTTGTGCCTAAAACTTGGGAATGTGGAAAATAAGCAGCTCCACCAATACCAGCATTTCCTGATACAGATGCTACCGTTTTCAGCCAAATTTACCATCTTTAAAAATTACGTAATTTAACCTTTTAAAGTAATGATTAATTTTAAAACAGGGTTGCATTTACATGAAATAATTTGCCTTTTGTATTAGTCTTTTTTCTCTTATTTGTGTCTTATTTCAGATTACTGTTTAATCTGAATGTTTAGGTTGAAACATAAAATTAAACATCAGTCATCTCAAATTTACCTGATGTTTAAAATCATGTATCATTAAGAAACTCATTAGTGATACCTGAACTGATCACGTTTTATGAAATCCAAACCTTTCACACTATCTTTCAAAGTGGTCATTTCCTAGTCCTGAGGCCAGGGCCCTGAAGCACCCCTGCCCCGGCTGGGACGCTCCGTACCTGGACTCTCTCCGTTGCTGTTGGCCACAGCTGCCGGCACAGGACTTTCTTGAGGACGTCGGGCAGGAGGCTGATGGTCACCAGCAGCACGATGGCCAGCCAGGCGGGCCCGCTGGACAGCATCTGGATGAACACGTAGTACATCCTCTGGTAGTTGAGGAATGGCCTGAGGGGCAGGGAAGAGAAGCCGCTGGTGAGGCATGTGCTCCCTGGGGCCGGCCTCTCTCCGCACTGGAGAGGGCGTTTGTTCCGGGAGTCCACACTTTTGTCAGTGAGAGTCGCTTGGCAAGCCACGGAGCCTGCTCTGAGTTTATCATATAAAAAATGAACGCGGAACCTCCCGGTAATGCTGGGGTAACAGGGACGGGAGAAGGAATTCTATGACGTCATCTCAAAGGGAACACAGAAGTCTCTGAAGTTCAGTTTCACAGAAGCAAAAAAAAAAGGGATTGAAATAGGGATGTTTTTCTATCTTGAAGTCTCGGATGGGAAGGACGTGCCGAGCACCGGTGGGGTCGTCAATACGGAGCAAGCAACGACTTCTCTCCCAAGAAGGAGGATAACTCAAAGATGTCTGTGTCAGCTCCAAGAGGGAGGCTGGCGAGGACGCAGGGACTGGTGACCCGCAGCCAGCCTGAGTCCACAGGTCCACGTCTACCCGTGCCTTCCGGTAGTTTCCTGATCGCCTTTCACATCCCAGGCACTATGCACGGTGGTAGAGACACAGAGACAGGGCCCCGCCTCCAGGAAGCACAGTGACACTGGCGTGTGGACAACAGGAGGGAAACGGGAGCAGGGCGTGGTGGGTAACGGGAGGGACGTGGAGCTGCTGGCAGGCCTGGGACGGGGCTGGAGGCACCCCCGAGGTGCTGGTGGTGGGCAGGAGGATGGGGTCTCATCACCAAGTGGTGGTGACACGGTGGGCTCCCAGCACATCAGAGACACGGGGTCAATGTTTTAGGAAACAGTGTGGAGGCCATGGTTCTACCAAGGCTGATGGGCTGTGGCTCCTCGGTTCCAAAGCCCAGGAGCTGGTCAGAGAGGTTTTGGGACGGAATCTTCCTCTTACAGAGCCACGGCCTTCAAGGCTGCTAGAATGGCCGGGCTCTCGGGAGCTGGGCTGGGCTCTCGGGAGCCAAGCAGGGTTCTCTGGGGCTGGCAGGGTGACTGAAATCCTCGAAGCTCGGAGCTCATCTCTGGGACTGTGTAATGCAACCTGGGGCCACCAGGGGCCGCTGGCTGAACGAGGTAATCGGGAGGGACGCTTCCTGAGCTGAGAATCCCGTCCAGGTCAGGGGCCCTGAGGGATCCCGAGAAGGTCGCCGGCTTTCCCTAGGCCGGCGACTGACCCCAGGTCTGCAGAGGGCTGTGGCAGAGGCTGCTGCGCTGGGGTTGAGATTGGGACCTGGTCCTGGGCCCACCACCCTGCGTACTTTCCTGGCTTACGGCAACAGTCTCTGACCACCCTGCCTATACCACTCTCACCAGCTCAACATGCAGCCACCGTGGGGTTTTTAAAAGAGCCACCCAACTCTGCTGTGCTCTGCCCACAGCCCTCCAATGGCTTGACTGACCATGACAGCCTCAAGCCAGGATCCTCACGGCCGGCGGTCCAGGAGGCCACCCTGCCTGCTCTGCAGCCTGGTCCGGGCCCTGTCCGCTGGCCACAGCTCCCACTCACCGAGGACCTCCTCCCACCCGGGACTGCGTGCCTGCTGCTGCTCCCCGGAACCAGAGGCTCCCCCAGGAGTCAGGCTGCTGCGGGCAAGGTCCAGCCCCACCATGCCTGGGCCCCATCTTGCTGTGGGGCGTGAGGATAGAGTGAGACAGGACCTGTGGAATGCTTGGCGGGTGCTTCGTTGTGGGAGGCAGTTACCAGCTGGGACTTGCGGTGATGATGGTGTTCTTTAGGTTTCAGATGACTTTCTGAGAAGTCATCTCTGGCCTTTTAATCTGACATAGGTCCCCTGGTAGAGAATCCTGGTCTGTTCCTCCGTATAACTCGTCACAAGCTATTATCAGTTAGAGTCTCTCTCCCCTGAGGGTGCAAGTCACAGGAGCAGGGACTCCCCCGTGTCTGGCCCCTGACTGTATCCCAGGACCCCACATGACGCCCAGCACACAGCAGGTGTTCAACAAACACTGGCCCCAACCAACGAGGCTGCACGGAAAATGTGTCTTCAATCCTTGATAAAAAAAAATAGTGCAGGACTATTAAGGTAATCACGTGATATTTATCAGATTATCAGCTACTTATAGATATTTACCAGATCACTCCTCCCCAGAGGAGCGAAAAGACGACGTAGAACAGCAGCGACCCCCAGATGACAAAATGGTTGATCCAAGTCCAGTAGTGTGTGTCTAACGCAAGCTAAAAAGAAAAAAGGGCAGTTAACGGTGTCACCCGAGCAGTCAGAATGATCGTGACGGGCAGGACAGAGAGCCAGGGGCTGATGAAAGACTAAACCAAACACAGACCCAGCAGTGACGACCCAATGCCCACACACAAACGCTCAGGAACACAAAGGCACACCTCACACTGCCCGTGGAGAGGAAGAACGTGGGGACGCCAGAGCCCCGGGTCGCGGGGAAGGGAGCCATGGATGCATTTCCCAGATGGCGGCGTGGGGGCCACAGACCAAGGTGTTGTTTATATCACCACCAAAGAAAGTCATTCAGATTAAGGTGTTCTTTATGTCACTACCTAAGAAAGTTACTTTTTTCTTTTTTTTTTGAGACAGAGTCTCCCTCTGTCGCCCAGGCTGGAGTGCAGTGGTGTGATCTCTGCTCACTGCAACCTCCACCTCCCAGGTTCAAGTGGTTCTCCTGCCTCAGCCTCCCAAGTAGCCGGGATTATAGGTGCCTGCCACCACGCCCAGCTACTTTTTGTGTTTTTAGTACAGACAGGGTTTTGGCATGTTGGCCAGGCTGGTCTCGAACTGCTGACCTCAGGTGATCCACCGCCTTGGCCTCCCACAGTGCTGGGATTACGGGCGTGAGCCACTGTGCCTGGCCAGAAAGTTCCTTTAGAGTCAGGTGTTGTTTATATCACTATCTAAGAAAATCACCTTAGGAATGTTTTGGTATCACTTTTTCAGACTCAGTCTGATAGGTTTTGAGATTTCATAATGATAATAGTCTGTACAGAACTTCACTGGACTTTAAAAAGAGTACAATTTTCCAAAATACATTAATTTGTTTCAATTCAAATGTATTTTGATGGCACTGCCGGGGAGGGCTACCTGCCACTGAAAAGAATTCTAGCCTGAATTCTTTCTGAATTCTTTCACGAAGAAGCAGCTCGCTCCCGAGGTTACCTTTGGTGTCGCTCTGGGGTCTGCACGCGGGGTGGCGGGGTGTACTGAGTCTGTGCATTACTTGTCTAAACAGCAAGACGAGGATGCCCAGGGGTGCCCCAGGAGCCGGCCTGGGCTGGGTGCAGAGTGGCTTCCAGCCTGGGTACGGAGTTACAATTCAGAGAGCTCAGAGCGGGTGAGGCCTACCCTGCAGGGGTTCACTGTGGCTGGGGGAGGAACGTGAGCGTGAGACCACTTACCTTTAGTGTGACTGTGAACACCATCACAGTGAATACCAGCGTCCCAAATGTCCAGTTTCCAAATATCTGTTTGGGGAAAACAGTCCAAGTCATCTCATTTTTACGTACTTTTTTTCTCTTTCAAATCAAGAGCTTTAGAAAATACACCTCATTTTTCTTGCGTGCCAACACTTCAAACCCCAAAGATGTAAGCACTGAATTTTCTTATTATCACATAACAGAAGATGCAGCAGCCCGCCAGAGCACGGCAGGACGTCCCCGTTTCCCGGCTGCCTCTCCCACCACCAGTTCCCTGGCGCGGTGATGGGCTCCGAGCCTGTCTGCCTGCAACGTTCTGCCCGCTCTTGACACTGGCCCTGCTCAACGCTCTCGGTCACAACGAACGTCGGTCCCAATGTCTCAAACTGAGCACAGAAATTCCCGCACAGCTGGCATTTAAAAATCCGTAATGCACACTCAGGTACACGCGAACCTCCTTTTTCTGTTCTGTGCTTTACGTATCAAAGTCTATCAAAGCACATTCCAAGCTTTTAACCGTTCACCTAGGAATATCCTGCTGTTCAACAAGTAACTGTTGTCTTCGCATCTCATTTGTGGCATCAAAATGAGAAGTTACTATGGCTTACGATGTCAGTGCAGAAAATGCGCCACTGGTGAACTCTTGAAAAAGACATCCGTAATTCTATTGCTCCTCCCATGCCACACAGGCTCTATAGACGTTCCTTTAGAATAATTTAGGTCTTTAAAACAAAGTAGCTCTCACCCGTGAACCATCAATCCCAGAGGGCCTCTGGACTGTAACCCTGTTGGGAGTATCCTGGTTGGAAGGGAAAATTCTCAGGGGTGAGCACCCCAACCCCAAATTGCTATGCAAGGACCAAGAGGGCTGTCAGCCGCTAGGACTGCCCCCAAGTTCCCTGAGTGCTGGCATCACGCTGGGGGTAAGTGCGGGTTCTGTGGGGGCTCAGGGTACCTTCCAGGATGTAGCCGGGGGCTGGAGGGTATAGCCAGAAGAGACCCGGAAACGAGCTAGTAGAAACCCTCAGATTCCAGGAAAGGCAGCAGAGCCACAGTGCCCACTGACCACCAGGTACAGCTGACCAGGGACACGTCAGGGTTCCAGGGGTCCAACAAGGTGGAGACGCTGCAGAGTCCATGCCAGGAAGCCCCTGGCATTGCACTGCCAGCACCTCATTTAGGAGCACAGCCAGCAGCCCTCCTAGGACAGTGGGACCCGTATCCTCGCCCCTGAAGTCCATCTCCGGGGGCTCTTGGGAGGCACCTTCACGTTCATGCTGAAATTCAGAATTACAACAACCCAGAGGCCGCACCAGGCAACACCATGAAGTCTGATGCTGGACGTCTGTGTGTGACCCAGGCCCTGCCCCTCGGGAACTGACCCTGCACAGGGTGTCTGATCTGTCCGAACTTCTCTTTCCTCAGCTTTCACGTGATCTGAACGTCCAGCTGAAAAGGGTGGTTGTAGTGAACCAGGACGACGTTTGTGAGAGAAAACTGGAAAATCAAGTGCGGGAAAAAGGGGACTTGCTATCGCCACGGCAGGCTGCCAGGAGCCTGGAGTCTCAGAGCTCAGGACACTACGTCTTAGTTCTTTTTAAGGGCTACACAAGATGCTTACGTAAGCCCGACCCGGAGGAAAATCTCATAAAAGATACAAAAGAATCAACATGATGACATTCATGGCCTGGTGGCATTCGGGAATTATTCAATTAAAATAAACTAAGACAAAGAATAAATTCTAAAAAACTTAAAGCTTTTAAAACAGTGAAATAACATTTGAATGGATTCTTAAGATCGACCTGGTAGAAACGGATTTAAGTGATGACGAAGGGTAACAGCAGAGTTTAGTAATGAGAAGTGAAAACGACTAAAGCAGGTAGACAGTGCACAGGACACGCAGCGGGACGTCTGTGTTTGAACCCAGCAGTCTGAGGGACAAACACACATGGAGAGAGAGGTCAGGCTAAACTGGGAACAAAGCCGATTTCTGTTTAGAAGTCACCCAGAAGGGGCTGCTGAAGAGAGACTTTCTCCGAGGTCAGCGCTGGTGTTTGCTTGTGCGGCTAAATACCTGCGACCTTTAAGCAGGGATGGTCTCTGACATCTACTCAGCGGCTGGCGCGGCTCTCTCAGATAGCACAGGGCCCCACCAGGCCTCCCACACACGCCTGTGCTGCCTTTAATTTAAAGTTGAGGGAAGCTCTCATCAATCCAGTCAATTCAGAAAACATCCCTGACTCAATGGGCCACCCTGACATGGAAACCAAGGCAACACAGCAAGGATGTGTGTCAGGAGGCACACCCCCCTTCTAACACAGAGCTAGCTCCGGGATGCGTGGGGCACACGCCCCCTTCTAACACAGAGCTAGCTCCGGGGTGCGTGGGGCAGCAGCGGCTAACAGCGTTTCCACCGACAAAACACACAGGAAGTCACGTTTGAAAATATTTTCGAGAAATATTTCATTTGTAATGCACTCCAAAAACACAGAGAAACGACAAACCCACGATTGCCTTACCACGTGTGTGTTGGTAGTCATTATCTGAGGGTGGGAAGGGAAGCCAGTGGCAAAAAGAAAAAAGCAAGATACAAATAAAACAAACCCCCAGGGATTAGGCAACCAACCAGAGACTGAATGTTCACTAGAAAACTACAAATCTGTTCATTGCAAAAGAAGCAGACTTAAGTACGGTGCTCGGGGAAATCTAACACGGGCTCAACATGGAATTCATTCTCATATTAAAAATGCAATGTCTAGGCCGGGTGCGGTGGCTCATGCCTGTAATCCCAGCACTTTGAGAGGCCAAGATGGGTGGATCACGAGGTCAGGAGATCGAGATCATCCTGGCTAACACGGTGAAACCCCGTCTCTACTAAAAATACAAAAAAATTAGCCGGGAAGCGTGGCGGCAGGCGCCTGTAGTCCCAGCTACTCGGGAGGCTGAGGCAGGAGAATGGCGTGAACCTGGGAGGCAGAGCTTGCAGTGAGCCAAGATCGCGCCACTGCACTCCAGCCTGGGCAACAGAGTGAGACTCCGTTTAAAAAAAAAAAAACCCAAAAACAACGCAATGTCTAAATTGTGTAATTCTACCACTAAGTAATGAGCTGATGGTGAACTGTAAGCTACAGAGATAAACTCTGAAAACCTCAGCAGGCCAGCCGGGCAGGGTGGCTCACGCCTGTAATCCCAGCACTTTGGGAGGCCGAGGTGGATGGATCACAAGGTCAGGAGATCGAGACCATCCTGGCTAACACGGTGAAATCCCGTCTCTACTAAAAATACAAAAGAATTAGCCAGGCGAGGCGGCGGGCGCCTGTAGTCCCAGCTACTCGGGAGGCTGAGGCAGGAGAATGGCGTGAACCCAGGACGCGGAGCTTGCAGTGAGTCGAGATCTGGCCACTGCACTCCAGCCTGGGCGACAGAGCGAGACTCTGTCTCAACAACAACAAAACAAAAAAACAAAAAACCTCAGTAGGACATTTCCTTCCAGTGACACTGAGCACTCAGGTAATGCAACCCGGAGCGACGTGCATGTGGCGATCGACCCCGTTGGGAAGCTGCGCGGGCTGCACTGAATTACTGCTTTGACAAAATCATCACATGGGTTTGGGAGAGTTTATTCCCGAGCAGCTGAGTCGGCGCGCTCGAGCTCCGTACTGACCTGCCCGTTGCTCGTCACAGTTGTATTTTCAAACATGAAGTAAGCACCAAAGAAGAACACCAGCGCGTCAAACAGTCCCAGGAGCGTCCAGTAGATGAACACACGCCAGCGCAGCAGCGCGTTCTTGGCGACGTCCCTGTGTGAGGAGAAAAGTGCACAGCGTGTGTCCTCGAGAATCAGGGCTCGGCGCCACCCCCGGGCTCCGGGGTGGCCGTCCCTCGACGTTGTCTTCATGGGATAAGATGTGTGTGGCCAGTAAACACGAGGTTTGTGCTCTGGCCACAAATGCGGCATGTCCGTCACAACCAGCACTTTACTACCCATTCATGTCCTTGGCTAACTTTTGCTTAGATTCTTTCTCTCTCATATTCACTGCAATATCATCATAGGCAGAGAGATGCAAGCCATGCGCTGCTGCTTCTGAAAGTAACGAACACGGAACACAAGGCACACACCTGACATTCACCGAGCTTGTGACACCTTACACCTGACGTGACACCTTACGCCTGATGTGACACCTTACAGTTGATGTGACACCTTATGCCTGACGTGACACCTTACGCCTGTTCAATAAGATAGAATTTGCAGGATTCCTTCTGGATACATGTCTAGAACAGTATATCCTCTCCCGTTTTCTCAGATTTATTCCCAATTATTAAAGACGTACAACAAATTTTTTATCGTCGTCCTTAATCACCTACAGTGATTATTTTTGGGTCCAAGCCATCAAGATCCCATAGAATGGCTAAATATTCTGATGAGGGCAGCGAGGCTGATGCACGGATTCCTGCAGCATCCTGGGCAGGGAAGCGCGTGGTCTTGGCTGTGGTGGTAGATGCAGGAACCACGCATGTGAGAAGATTGCACAGAACTGAACACACACAGACAGGTGTCATGTACACACACGTACATGAGCACAGGGAAAGCTGTGTGATCTGAGTAAGGGAACAGGAGAATGGCATCAACATCAACACATTGGATGTGATGCTGGACTGCAGTTTCTTGCATGTCACCACTGAGAGACATGGGATCAGGGTCCACAGAATCTATTATTTCTTTTTTTTTTTTTTTTTTTTTTTGAGACAGAGTCTCGCTCTGTCACCCAGGCTGGAGTGCAGTGGCCGGATCTCAACTCACTGCAAGCTCCGCCTCCTGGGTTCATGGCATTCTCCTGCCTCAGCCTCCCGAATAGCTGGGACTACAGGCGCCCGTCACCACGCCCGGGTAATTTTTTGTATTTCTAGTAGAGATGGGGTTTCACCGTGTTAGCCAGGATGGTCTCGATCTCCTGACCTCGTGATCCGCCCCTCTTGGCCTCCCAAAGTGCTAGGATTACAGGCGTGAGCCACCGCGCCCGGCCGGAATCTATTATTTCTTACAACTGCATATGGATGTAAAATTATCTGAAAAATAAAATTTTAATTTATGATAGGGTTTGGCTGTGTCCCCACCCAAATCTCATCTTGAATTGTAGCTCCCATGACCCCCACCTGTTGTGGGAGGGACCTGGTGGGAGGTGATTGAGTCATGGGGGCGGTTTTTTCCCATGTTGCTCTCATGATAGTGTCTAAGTCTCACGAGATCTGATGGTTTTATAAAGGAAAGTTCCCCTGCACACGCCCTCTCGTCTGCCACCACGTAAGACATGACTTTGCTCCTCATTCACCTTCCGCCATGACTGTGAGGCCTCTCCCCAGCCGTGTGGAACTGTGAGTCCACTCAACCTCCTTCCTTCATAAATTACCCAGTCTCAGGCATGTCTTCACAGCAGGATGAAAACGGACTAATACAATTTAAAAGACCATGGAAAACAGTAACATACTGAATCTTCCAGAGACCTTGGGGGGCATTTCTGAAATAGCAGAAAAATATCTCTTCCATATTATTTAAAAAAAATAACTTTTTGGGAGAAAAGACACCCTGAAAGCAGAGCTATTAATTTTTCTTTTTTCTCACTGAATGGAACACACATGGTTTTAAAGGATAACTTAGGCCACAGACTCCCCGGAGTCACAACGAGGAAGACGCTGGTACCCCGGCTCCCTTAGGACTGTTAGAAAGCACAGGAAAGTGCAAACTGGCTCCACACAGATGTTCCAAATGCAGCGTAAACCATCCAGCAAGGCTTAAAGAGTCTCCCTTTGAACTATGTTGCTTCCAGTTTAAAGAAGCTCCTGACCAAGCAAGAGTATCAGTAGATGCTGAATGTTTCTGGCCCTTAACTGGGGTCTGCCAGGTGGCTACTGGAAGAACTGCCAGAGTGCTGCCTGGTTATTCTCTGTGCTCTCAGGGGAGGCTGTGTGGAGGATGGTACCTGTACAGGGTCGGGTCTCTCTTAAGCACGTCGATGCCAATATGCTGCTCCATGAGGCTGTACAGGAGGATGGGGAGGGAGGTGAAGCTGATGTTGTAGAGGGTCAGATACGCGGTGTCGTACAAAGTCTGTAAGAGGAAAGTCACAAGGAAGTGGTGCCTCAGTGCATTGTTACAAACTTTCTGGATCTTTTGATTAAATATATTTTCTTTCTGAAATGCCTAGAAAGATCAGAGCACTTTTCAAAGCTTAACGATATAAACTAGGGTCTGTGAGATCAACTGTGATTTCAGGATGAAAGTCACAGCTGGCAAAAAGCCTAACACTGACTCATCCCATTCTATCAGCACAAACTTCAAGAAAAAAAAAAAAAAAGGAAAAAGTCATAGAAAACGTTTGCAATTCTGATTGCCATCTTCAAGCTTCAGTGACTCTGGTTCCAGTCACTTCCCATGAAGGCAGTTGGCCCGCCAACCACTGAGCACACGAGTGACAGAAGGAGGCATCCATCTAGGGCAGGTGCCCGGGGAGTCCTTCATCCCTCCTGGATGGGAACTGTCTTCTTCCCCTATGGGCACACTGCACATGTTAACGTGCCAGGCACCGGGGTGGCCCATGTCCACAAGGACCTCGAGTTGGAGTTAATTCTTGCAGTGGTGTCAGGATACCCAGCTCGGCACTTCTGGGCCCTGGGGAGACCACATCATCATTAGCCCTCATCTCAGGGCCATAGCAGTTTCAGAAGACACGGAATAAGCGGCCTCCAGGACGGCAACTCCTCAGCATCGTGGCCCCCACCCCACACCTGACCTGACCTTTCACCCCCGTCTGCTGCTGGGCACCCTGGCTTCCTCGAAATGCTGGGGAGTGTTGCTCATTCCCAAGTCTCCTCTCCCCACGGCAGCCACCCACTGGGGGAAGGAAAAGAAGGCTCAGACGGCCTGTCCCTGAAGACCCTAGGACTGACCTGTTGTGAAAACCCACAGAAGAACTGGTATAAAAACTGAGGGAAGATGAAGCAGACATTCTGAAAGGCAAGGCAGAGCTGTTAGTTCAGTGATGGGGCAGAGGGAAGCAGCTGCCACTTCCAACGTGGCCTGTCCCACGTGGGCGGAGGGATCCACGTGTGCCCAGAGTGCGGGAGAATAGCACTAAAGGGTTCTAGAAAGTCTTATTTCAGGGGCAACTGAAATGCACATGTGACCACGTTCTGGCCACTCTGAGGACAGACAACGTATTGGGGAAATTTGTCAGCTCCAAGAGAAACAAGAAGGCAATGCAGGTATCAGTATAAACAGGAAAGAATCGAACTGCACAGTGAATAAGGAATTCTAAAATACCGTTCCTCAAACATTTCCACCTGAAAGGTTCTCACTGGTTCCACACTCAATTCTGTGGAGGGGAGAAAAGGACTGGGGGTCTCCCGTGGCACGGCAGGGCCTCCTCATCCTCAGGGGTACATTCCCAGACCCAGGGAGGATGAAGAATCTGCGGAAGGTCCTGAACCCTGTCTACACTGTAGACAGGTATGTGTGTTCCTACACATACACACCTATGACAAAGTTTTATTTATAAAGTAGGCACAGTAAGAGAGTAACAACAAAACATAGAATAACTATAATAATATACCATAATCAAAGGTACATGAATTTGGTCTCTCCCTCCTCCTCTTAAAATATATTATCGGGTCGTATTCACCATTCTTCTTCTTGTGATCTGTCAACCTGGTCACCAAGACAGCTACAGAGTGACTGAGGGGCAGGTAATGCACACACAGCATTGGCACACCAGACGAAGGGACAAGCCACATCCCAGGAAGGACGGAGCAGGACGGCACGAGGCTTCATCACGCTGCTCCGAATGGCATGCAATTTAAAACTTAGAAACCGTTTATTTCTGCAATTTTCCATTTGATATTTTTGGGCCTGGGTTGACTGTAGGTAATGGAAACTGTAAAAAGCAAAGCCACGGCTAAGTGGGAGATGACTGCTATCAGATTCACTCCTTCCTTTCTGACAGTTGCTGCTACCTAGAGATCAATGACCTCTTGTGCCATCAAGTGGTTCAGACAAGGGTCGTGCCAGCCTGTGTGTGATCTGCTGCTGAAAATGTGAGGGGGAGCGGCGATCCGCCTACCTTATAAAAGAAGTACTGCACGAGCTCAGATATCCTAATGTAATAAAAATGCCCGTGAACAAGCAGCATCTTCTTCAAATGCTTAAACTTTGGGATTGCATAGTCGCTGTTCCTGGCAGCCTGGCGGCCTTCCTTGCCGATGACACCTAGAAGATGGAGGTGAAGGAGCTGAGGAAATGCTTTCTGCACACCACACACAGGGCAGGGACGGGGAGAAGAATGGATGAAACCATCACCACGAGCCTTCCTGGTCACACACGAGGGTGATGATGGGGTGTCCTGAATGCACCTGCATGCTGCCATGGGCCTCTGTCTAGCGGAGGGGTGACCTGGCCACCAGGACGTGCCGGCAGCAAGGACAAAGCTCACCTATGCCCACGTGCGCTTCCAGAATCATGCTGACATCGTTTGCGCCGTCGCCAACTGCTAACGTGATTGGGTGCTCTTTTGAAAATTTGATTAATTTAACAATCTGCAAAAGAAAGAAAGAAAGGCAGCATTTATCTTCACTGTTCCACTTCTGAACAGGTTATTCATTCACTAGGCAGAAATAATGAAGATGTAAAGTTAGCCTAGGCAAATAAAAAAATTATCTACTTGAGCTAATTTACGACATTCTGTTTTCTCCATATAGGATAAAACTTTTTTTCATACTGAAAACAAAACAAAATAAAGTAAAAGAAATGAAGTATGATTAAAATGACGTGGGCTGGAAAAGGCTGGTAGACAAACTTTGGCGGTACAGACGTGAGATATATGAAGTAGTTTGTGGTTATTGTTATATTCATCTATTTAAATATATGGAAAAATGTGTAAACACTGGGAAAATACATTTAAATATACAGGGGCAAATGTGAACCCTGGATTCTGTTAGAAGGCATCACTATTCCAAGGTATTTCAAGCTATTTGGTATAAAGCATCTATTTCTAAAACTAAACTATTCCTAATGCTATTTTAATTTTCAAATTTGTAAAGTGCAAAATCAAATATGACAATTTTATGTAAAAATAATTTCCAGGCCAGGCGCGGTGGCTCAAGCCTGTAATCCCAGCACTTTGGGAGGCCGAGACGGGCGGATCACAAGGTCAGGAGATCCAGACCAACCTGGCTAACACAGTGAAACCCCGTCTCTACTGAAAAATACAAAACACTAGCCGGGCGAGGTGGTGGGCGCCTGTAGTCCCAGGCATTGGGGAGGCTGAGGCAGGAGAATGGCGTAAACCCGGGAGGCGGAGCTTGCAGTGAGCTGAGATCCGGCCACTGCACTCCAGCCTGGGAGACAGAGCGAGACTCCATCTCAAAAAAAAAATAATAATAATTTCCAAGTTTTTAGTCAATTTCTTTTCTCCCCCCATATATGTGCCTAAATGTAACAGTTCAAGATATAAGACTGAAGAGATGGGGGAAACGTGTGGGTGCCTTCTTGTTTCAAGATAGGAAACTGAAACACAAGTTAATTTGTATGAAACATTTCAAAAGCCAGTTGAGAACTTAAAAAAGTACTATGGAATACGTGAAAAGCAAATGGCAAACCCTGAGTTGCTGTTCCGTTCGGGAAGTAATCCTGTAAGGTTCATGTGCAGTTACACATGTGAGGGAGAGGAGAACATCGCACCGTCTTCCCCACATGGAAGGTCTGTGAATGCTCGAGGCTCAGCTGTCGTCCTGAGGACCCCGGCTCCGTGTTTTTGGCAAAATTGACAGATTAATGCACCCACGGGCACAAACTCTCAACTCTTCACCTCCTTGGTTTCCAGAGTTTGTGTGAGACGTTTTTTACCTTAAACACTGGGTTGCTCTGACCAGTTATGGATTTATTCATGAACAGTTCAAGAGAAATTGACGTATCGTGTCTAAAATGTGGTATAACGAAGCTGGGACTTTTCTAGGCTTCCTGATATCAGAAAGACATCCATGTTTACACGTACATTCCACAGTGCTTTTAAAAGTGTTTAAAGAAAAAACTTCGGTGTGTGTTTCCCACAAGAACATGGGCGTGTGAGACGTTTGGAGTTTGATGGACAAGCTGAATCCTCGTGGCATTTCCCAACTGCAGCCTTTTGGGCAAATTATTCCAATTTGTAAAGCTGGTGCCCTCATTCGCCCGAAAGGGTTAGTTTGAGGCTAAAAGCATTTGTGTCTGTAGGAGGCACACACTAGGTGCTCAGTAATGTCAGCTCCCTTCCCCTAAACCTTTAGTATAGATTGTCAGGAGTGACTGAGGCAGCAGCCAGGGCAGCTGTCCTGGCCGCTACATCTGGAAGGGTGACACGTCAGACTGGTCAACACCCACTAATCACTGAGCCTGGCCCAACAAGCAAAACGAGATCTGTGTTTTAAATCTCTACCATGGTTACTTCTCTTTTTAACAGGCGGTACCCTGCTAGGCTTTTTAACAATCCGCGGTGGTGAGACCTAACGGAAGGTTTCCAGTGTTTCGGATACCCTGATCACCAGCTATCGAGGACGGGCGGGCAGCACCTGGGCCTTCTGCAAGGGTGCCATGCGGCAGCAGAGCACCGCGCTGCAGCTCCGGCAGATTTCCAGGAAGAGCTCCCTGTAGTTGCTGGAACTCCCGTCTTCGCGAGGCTTCATTATGAGAGACAGCGCAGCTCCGTCGATAATCAAGCCATAGTCCTGCATATCTGCTGAGAGTCTGTTAGAGGACGTGAGTCAGAAAGACGCTCAATCACTAGATCTAGAGATTTTAGAAGACTCTGTATTTCTTTGGATGTCGACAGATGCTACAAATCCATGGGATTAAGAAACTAGTGTTTCTTATCAATACAATCTTTATAGTATTGAATGTAACACCTTTGTCGACATTTAAGAGTGTATTTTAGTGAAACATTCCTATTTTAGGTAAAGCAAGTGCACACTCTCTTTGTGGACTCATTAAGTCCCTGTACTTTTGAAACAACAGGAAGGCGTTCATCTTGCAGTCTAAGATCTTGGTCACAGTCTTTATCTGTATAGCTAAGTCCTTGGGTTTCTGCCTGGATGACCTAAATTGGAAAGAACGTGGTCATAATCTCCTCTTTGCTGGGTTTCAAAATGACAAGGAGGCTGGATGCCATGGCTCACGCCTGTAATCCCAGCACTTTGGGAGGCCGAGACGGGCGGATCACCTGAGGTCAGGAGTTCAAGACCAGCCTGGCCAACATAGTGAAACCCCATCTCTATTAAAAATACAAAAATTAGCCGGGTGTAGTGGTAAGCGCTTTTAATCCCAGCTACTTGGGAGGCTGAGGCAGGAGAATTGTTTGGACCTGCGAGGCAGAGGTTGCAGTGAGCCAAGATCACGCCACTGCACTCCAGCCTGGGCGACAGAGTGAGGCTCCATCTCAAAAACAAAACACAAAAAACAAACAAAGAAAACAAACAAGGAACACCTCTAATCCCTAAAAGGAGTTCTGCAGATTGCAGATCAGGTAGAGGGAATTATCTGTGCTATTTATGAATAACTTAACATTTGTGTAAATTAGAGAGCTGCTTTTGCTTTACGTACATGAATGAAACTGAAATGATTCAAATAAAATCTAATCTCAGATAATGCATCTAACACCAGTAAGGACAGCATCGATAAAATGTATCTGAATAAACTACTGAATATTAGCTGAATTATTCTTTTTTTTTTTTTTTTTTTTTTGAGATGGAGCTCTTGCGTCTGGTGTGCCCAGGCTGGGGCGTGCCAGGTGACCGCCGATCCTTGGGCTCACTGCAAGCTTTCCGGCCTCCCGTTGGTTCACGCCATTCTCCTGGCCTCAGCTCCCAAAGTAGCTGGGACTACAGGCCGCCCGCCCACCCGTCGGGCACCGGCTTTTAAGTTTTTTTTGCCTGTACTTTTTTAGTAAGAGGATGGCGGGTTCACGTAGTATAACCAGGATGGTGCCCCCGCCGATCTCCTGACCTCGTGCAATCCCGCGCCGTTCTCGCCTCCAAAGTGCTGGGACATTACAGGCTTGAGCCACCGCCGGGCCCGGGCCTTTTTTTTCTCTCTTTGAGGACGGAAGAACAAAAAAAAAAAAAAAAAAGAAAAAAAAAAAAAAAAACAAAAAAAAAAAACTCTCGCGCCTGTGTCACCCGCAGGCTGCGGAGTGCCCAGGTGGCGCAGGATCTCGCTCACTGCAAGCCCTCCGGGCCTCCCAGGCTTCACGCCGATTCTCCTGCCTCAGCGTTCCGAGTAGCCTGGGACTACAGGGGGCGCCCGGGGCCACCGACGCTCGGCTAGTTTTTTGTATTTTTAGTAAGACGGGTTTCACCGTGTTAGGCCCACACGGATGAGGCTCGATCTCCTGACCTCGCTGATCACACGCTCGGGCCTCCCAAAGTGCTGAGTTACAGGCTTGAGCCACCTCGCCCGGCCCAACCTACTGCAATATTCTTGGGGAAAAAAAGCAAACTCTTGGGCATGTACTGCTTTGTCTTAGATGGCATTATTAATATCTCCACTTCCGCCAGCAGATGTTTGAAGGTGCCTGCAGCAGAGCCCCTAAGTCTCAGAAGCAGATGAGAATTACCCCACTCAAAATATTTTATCAATTATGTCATTTTGCATCTGTTACCCGGCAGTCTGAAGATGAACATACACACACGTATGTGAAAAAGACACGTCACAACTGCTGGAAAAAACAGCCCGTCTTGTTCTCAGTGTTCACCTGACCCGTAAGAAGGTGGCATTAAGGTCCCAGGGGAGAACCGAATTCCCAGTAAGGACAATGCGGTTCCCCCACTTGCCAGTGAAGGCCATTGGGTCTGAAGCCCCTTCTGAGGGAGTGGGGGTGGGGGCGGGGACGCGCTGCCTACCCTGAGAGGTTGTCTCTGGTCAGGCTCCCGCTGTGGCGCAGGACCGTCTTGCTCAGCTCGAACAGGACGTCGTGCAGGCTCTGCTCCTCGATCCTCTTGGTGGTCAGCTCCAGCAGCTGTGTGTTCCTGCGGAAGAGCTTGCAGGCATAGCACGTGGCTGCGGCCGTCTCCATCTTGTCTCCCGTGAGAACCCAGACCTTGATCCCGGCCTTTTGCAGGGCCTCGATGGTGTCTGCAGCTTTCTCCTGCAGCCTGAGGGAGGCAAAACCAAACACAACACAGAGAAAAGTCAGTGCTGACCCAAGAAATCCAAATAAGGAACTGCAGAAACTTGCAAAGCTGACAAAATATTGTAGCCCCTCAAAATCAAAACGTGCCGTGCGTGGTTCATGGTCTTACCACAAAGCACCTGAAGCGGCTTCTGAAGGTCTGAATTAGTGTTTCACAGCGAAACACTACGTAACAGCAGAGAGATAAACATGGATCAAACATTTGAGATGGAAAGCGCTGTCTGGTGTCACTGACGTCTGACAAGCCTGGCAGTTTTCTGTGGAGCTGGGACTCACTACCTGGGGAGGGTTTCAGGAAATTACAACCACCACCAAAAATGTCTCAACCATGGAAAGATGGGATCTGGACTCAAGGTGGTCAGGAATATTCATTATCTTTTGTTTTGTATAAACTGTTCTAAGTTTGTCACTTAGAACCCACTTGGGGTCCAGGTACCTCTAAATAAAATTAAAATACTGAGAATACTACTAGTGATTCTATGGCCAACAGGTATCATGGGCTTGCCACGTGCCAGGCCCATGTGACACTTCCTGTGTGCAATCTCTCATGCTCACCACGATGTCATCAGTAAGGACGTTAGCATCACACCCGTTTTACATACGGAAAACCCAAAGCCTGCAGATGCTACAGAAGGTATCTGGGGATAAGCGGCTCTTCTGACACTGGTCAGGTCACTTCCCTCTCCTTGGAAGATCTGGGGTCAAAACCACATTTGCCTCATGTCGGGGCCTGCATTTTTTCTAGGTTTTAGACTTTACTTTCGTGTGAAGGAACATGTAATGCTTCCAGAAACCATGAAAGGAAGGATTTAAATTCTAACTGGAATGATCCGGTTTTCTGGGAAGAACTTCCTAGCTAGAAGTCTCAAGATCAGACAACCATAGTACTCTATAGATGGAAAAAACGCCTCTAATTTTATGTGTGTGTGTATGTATGTGTATATATATGTGCGTGTATCTATATGTGTGTGTGCATATATATATATATATAGAGAGAGAGAGAGAGAGAGAAAGAGAGAGTGAGCACGAGAGCAAGAGAACGCCTTGTTATGTTGCCCAGGCTAAGGTACAGTGGTATGATCTCAGCTCACTGCAGCCTCCAACTCCTGGGCTCAAGCGATCCTCCCTCCTCAGCCTCCCAAGTAGCTAGGACAACAGGTGACTGCTACCACGACCTGATTAATTTAAAAAAAAAAAATTCAAGAGATGGGATCTCACTATGTTGCCCAGGCTGGGCTCAAACTCCTGGCCTCAATCAATCCTCCAGCATCAGCCTCCCGAAGTGCAGGGATTACAAGTGTGCTGCACTGGGCCTGGCCCTGTTTACAAGCGTGCTGCACCGGGCCTGGCCCTGTTTACAAGCGTGCTGCACCGGGCCTGGCCCTGTTTACAAGCGTGCTCCACTGGGCCTGGCCCTATAACTTGATTCAAAAGGAAGCTGAAGCTCAGAGATGTTTTGCACTTGCTGACTGGAGATTTTAAGGAAATAATTTATAAGCAAGCATCATCACTTCAAAGCCACTGAGATCCCCCACTCCCGCCACCAGGCATTAACTCTCCACTTTTCTACATTCCCAATCCAGTCAAGTCAACCTGCCCCCTGCTCCAGGGGCTCTGTCCCATCTGCTCTGCGGGAGGCATCCCCACGCTCCTCCACCATGGCCTCTAAAGATCGACCCAGCTGCTCCCCAGGCAAAGACCATTCTATGGACACCCCTCTTCTCCTGGACAGACAGCAGGTGAGTGGCTGGCCATGACAGCAAGGCCCCACCTCCCAGCAGCACCAGCAACACAGCCTTTCGGCGGTTGTGGCCCTGCGCTCTGAAGCCTTCCGGTGTGCAAGGCTCGTTCTCTACACGGTGCTCCGTGCGCTTACTCCGGACTGAATGGGGGAGCGTGACTTCAAAACAAAACACAAAACCACCAAACAAAACTTCCCACTTCACCTAATACTCCATTCAGATCGAGAACTCGGGGAATATTTGTTCAACACACTCAGAAAATGCAGGGTTAGTAATGAGGATTTCAGTTTTGGACCGAAATGGATCTTAAAAGATTTTCAAACTTGATGCTTTTAACTTCTAGGAGACAAACTCCTAGTAAACTTCCTGAAGTTTCTGCTTCATTCTCATCAACTGGAGCATTTATTTTCTCTCCTCCATTCCTACAAACCACTGAAATCCACGCCTTTCACTCAGCTCTGAAGGTGCCATGTGGACCTGACAACTGTTTCTTAGTGGCCTCGGCCTCACACAACTTTCAGTCCCCATTGTGGAGCTGGGGCACACTGGCAACTCTCACCTTAGAGGCACCTGAAAATCTGTAATTGGTAATTTTGCTGGTTATGATGATGATTAGTTTAATTTTCTACTTCATTAAGTTTTTTCAAATAATGATAAACACATTGAGTATGTAATGATCTAAGAAGTAATAACAGTATTTGGAAAGAACTAGCAACAAGTTTAGGAACAGAGTTGTTGATTCCATTGTAAAGAGTAATTACAGCCAGTCATGACTGCTCATGCCTGCAATTCCAGCACTTTCAGAGCTGAGGTGGGAGGACTGCTTGAGGCCAGGAGCTTGAGACTAGCCTGGGCAACACAGTGAAATCCTATCTCTACAAAAAATATGAAAAATTAGCCAGGCATGGTGGTATGTGCTTGAAGTTCTAGCTACTCAGGAGGCTGAGAAGGGAGGACAGCTTGAACCTGGGAGTTTGAGGCTGCAGTGAGCTGTGATGGTGCCACTGCACTCCAGCCTGGGCAACATGGCAAGATGCCATCCCTTAAAAAAAAAAAAATTTGTAAGAGTCTTTCTGTCTTGTCTGTTCATGATATGAAAAAGTTATTTTCACTACTTCCTGGGAAGTGTGCTTTCAGGCATCTCATTCATGGATAACAAAATATCCCACAGGCATGACCTTCCCAACATGACTCTAGCGTGTAGCAAGACACCTCGCCTCTCCCTGGGCAGCAAACACGCCCACTGGCTGTGCGGCCGGTCTCCCTCCCCTCCACTCGCCCTCACACACACCACTGGCTGTGCGGCCGGCCTCCCTCCCCTCCACTCGCCCTCACACACCCTGGGCCGTCGGCCTGCATCCTAGTTTGTGTTTACTTTACCGGTCCTCAACAGCCGTGGCACCAAGCAGAATCAGATCTTTCTCTATTTGCTCATAGGCTTCTGCTAACTTTTTCTCTCGATCTTGAAGGGCCACTTTGGCAGCCTGCAGCAGTTTACAAATGCCTTCATATTCTTCTTGGATCAGCCTCTTGTAAGCAACACACAAAGTTCGGAGCCCCTCCTGCAGAATACAACGCAGTGTTTAGCATAAATTCAAGGTGTCACTTGCTGAAATATTACGCTCCATGGCCTTCCCAGTATCCCTTCTCTCATTAGAATAACTAACCCAGGAATTGTAACCCTTTCAAAACTTACAGTACTAAGTAAACAAAGAAAGATTACAACTCAACCAACTCTCGAAAGGAGTAAGTCATCAACAAGTGAATTATTTAAGTCCACATTAAAGATAAAGAATCATTATGGATCACAGCATATGGATCACAGACTAGAAAGCCTGGAAATCAGTAACAGAAATCAGGGTCATCTACCAAAAGATAAACTTCATTCCTTTACTTTGACAAATGCAGAGTTAAACTGAACCTTTTTTTAAGGATAATCATTTGTAATTTTACGGGCAATATCAAGTGATATTTCTAAAGTAACCATGTTTTATGCAGGAAGTTTGTAAGGTGGTTGTTCTTTCACAATGAAGGAAACCTGCCAGGTTATTTATTAAAATCATTGGTTGCACGGGAACATAAGGAATTAAGAATCACAAATTCTTTACTGTGATCACGATTCTGTATGTCACCACACAGAGAGGATGCAGCCGCCACCAGCAAGACACAAGGAAGGGGGGCAGAGGCTGAAGCGGCCACAAGGGGGCGGTTCACAGATGAACCTCTTCATTCCGTCAGTCAAGGCTGCTGAGGGCGACCGTCACAGAGGTTTACCGATGATCTAGGGTGTTTCCCTTCCCTTTTCCCTGCTCCTTCAGCCCCTGATGACAGTAAAAGAACCATAATCCTCCCAAATAACCATTTTAAAATCTGGGAGAATGCTGGTTTTTAAGAGTTTAATCAATGTTTTCCATTATATGAGATGAAGCGTCCCCTAACTCTCAGGGAAGGCTCGTATTTATCACCAGTTTCAGACCTCTTAATTCGTGTGAAGGACAGAATTGCCACTGGGTCAGTGGCTCTCATGGGCCTTGAGCTCTCAAAAGCCAGAAGGGGAAAGGGGGAGTTGAAGAAGTGAGAACACAAGGCAGGGTCTATGTGTGCCTGAGTCCTGTTCACTAGGAACACTCTTGAACTCCTTCCTTCCCATCCTCCAGATATTGTCTCCTGGTCAAGAATAAGTGAGAAGCCAGTGGACCTGTCTCAGAGGAAAGCAGCACTGAATAAACACTGCTCAGCCGCCCCAGCCTCACCTGCTGAGCACACGACCTTGCAGCTTTCTGCTCATGGGTTTGCCTCTATTGTTAGGCGCTGGGTTCTCTGGCTGTGGGCGCTGTGTCTGACTTCATCACTGAATCCCTAGCACACAGCCCAAACCCAACAACTTTTGCTGAATAAGTAAGTGGTTGAAATTAGACCTTTTGTGCACCTGGTCACCAAGTTACAGATTGGAGTCATAAATGCGAATTGCAGAACGAATTCTCTGACTTTTCCTAAAAGGCAATAAAACATACAAGATATACAGCTTCAGTCTGAAACCGGAAAAACTGCATAACAAGAAAATGGTTTTATAGGATAATAACCCAGAGTGGCCCCAGAACTTAGGTTGCTGTGCGTGGTAAGCAGAAGCTTTTGGAAATAAATGTTTCTGCTTTTAAAAGTCAATCAGGGACTTTCTCTTGTGGTAACACAGAACAGAAATACTTTTCTCTATTTCTCCTGCTAAGTGCTACAAAAACCCTGGACACAGCACATAAAACAAAGCCAGATAAATACACTACAAGAAAACTGCAGAACAATATCCCTTAGAAATATAGATGCAAATATCCTCAACAAAATACTAGCAAACTGAATCCAATGGCACATTGAAAGGATCCTACACCACAACCAAGTGGGGTTTATTCCAGGAATGCAAAAGTGAGTCAGCATATGAAAGTCAACGCAGTATATGACATTAATAGAATGAAAAGGGAAAATCCCACATGATCATCTCAACTGATGCAGAAAAGGCATTTGAAAAAAATCCAGCCCCTTTTGGTGATAAAATCATTTAATAAACTGGGTAGAGAAGAAACCTCCTCATCGTGGTAAAAACCACTTAAGTGAAAAACCCAGCTGAGTGCAGTGACTCACGCCTGTAATCCCAGCACTTTGGGAGGCCGAGGTGGGCGGATCACCTGAGGTCAGGAATTCAAGACCAGCTCGGCCAGTGTGGTGAAACCCCGTGTCTACTAAAAATACAAAAATTAGCCAGGTGTGGTGGTGCATGCCTGTAATCCCAGCTACTCAGGAGGCTGAGGCAAAAGAATGGCTCAAACCCAGGAGGCAGAGGTTGCAGTGAGCCGAGATCGCGCCATTGCACTCCAGCCTGGGCAACAAGAGCAAAACTCTGTCTCAAAAAAAAAAAAAAAAAAGAAGAAGAAGAAGAAAGAAAAACCTACAGCTCACATCACCCTCCACGGTGAAGGACTGAAAGCTTTTCCAGGATCAGGAACAAGACAGGGATGCCCGCTTTTGCCACTCCTATTCAACAGAGTATTAGACGCTCTAGTGAGAGGATCAGGCTATGAAGAGAAAAAGGAAGTTTCCACATTAGAAAGAATGTCTTTCTAAGGCCTATTTGCAGACGACACGATCCTATATCTAGAAGACCATGAAGAATGTGCCCCCCCTACTAACTGAATTCAGCAAAGACACATGGTACAAAGTCAACACATGAAAACTAGTCTCTACTAAAAAATACAAAAAACTAGCCGGGCGTGGTGGCGGCGCCTGTAGTCCCAGCTACTCGGGAGGCTGAGGCAGGAGAATGGCGTGAACCCAGGAGGCGGAGCTTGCAGTGAGCTGAGATCCGGCCACTGCACTCCAGCCTGGGCGACAGAGCGAGACTCCGTCTCAAAAAAAAAAAAAAAAAAAAAAAAGAAAACTAGTGGCATTTCTATACACTACCAATGAAAAATCTGAAAAGGAAATTAAAAAAAAATTCACTTATAACCACATCAACAGGAGTAAAATACTTAGGAATAAATTTAACCAAAGAGGTGAAAGACTCGAGGCTGAAAAACACCAAAGTTTGCTGAAATAAATTATATAATACCTAAATAAATGGAAAGATATCCCATGTTCATGGACTGGAAGACTTAACATTGTTAAGATGACAACGCTACCCAAAGTGATCTACAGATTGAACGAAATCCCTATCAACATCCCAATGGCTCCTCCCTCCGTTTCTTTTTTTTGAGACAGGGTCTTACTCAGTTACCCATGGTAACATGCAGTGGTGCCATCGTGGCTCACCACTGCTTTAAACTTCTGTGCTCAAGCAATCCTTCTACCTCATCCTGCCTGGTGGCTAGGACCACAGGTGTGTGCCACCACCCCGGCTGATTTTTCTTGTGTATGTTTTGTAGAGACAGGGTCTTGCTATGTTTCCTAGGCTGGTCTCAAACTTCTGGCCTCAAGTGATCCTTCTGCCTCAGCCTCCCAAAATGCTGGAATTACAAGTATGAGCCGCCGTACCTGGCCCCCAGTGGCATTTTCTGCACAAATGAAAAAGCCCATCCTAAAATTCCTATTAAATCTCAGCATAGCCAAACCATTTTACAAAAGAAGAACAAATTTGAAAGACTCACACATCCTGGTTTCAAAGCCTGCTAGAAACTGACAGTAATCAAAACAGGGGGAACTGGGATAAAGACAGACGTAGAGAGAATGGGATGGAACAGAGAGCCCAGAAATAAACCTCCAGGTAAGTAGTCAAATGCTTTTCAGCAAGGGTGTCAGGATCACTCAGTGGGAGAGGAGAGTCTTCACCAAACGCTGCCAGGAAAACTGGATAACCATACACAGGGGCATCAAGTAGGACCCTCCCTTTACGAAAGATGCAAAAATTAGCCAAACAAGGACTACACTCCTAAATTTAAGAGCTAAAACTAGAAAACTTATAGAAAAACACACAGCAGTGGCTAATCTTCATCATCCTGGATTTCACAGTGGTTTCCTCGACGTGCACTGACAGCAAGCACAACCACCGAAAGGAGAAATCAACTGGACTCGAAGGACACACAGGCCCCTCTGGACTGTCTCTTTACTTCTTGTCACTTCTCCTAAATCTGTAATTATTTCAAAATAAAATGCTGCCAACCGACGGGGCCCTACAAGTGCCCAGCTCACTACCCAGACCCAGCTCACTACCCGGAGAGCTTCCAGGCCAAGGCTTGGGCAGGGGAACGAAGCCGGAGCCGGTGAATTCTCTGAGTTACGGGGCAGACCTGGGCGTCAAGGGAACAAACATCAGAATTCCCAGGATGAGTGGATGCCAGAGGCTGTGGATGGCCCCCTCTGGCACCTGCAGTTGTGAGGAAGCTCCTGGAAGCCAGGAACAAGCCATTAGGAGGAGGGTGGGACAGCCTGCTGCCAAGAGGCACGGCCACTCGCCAGGCACAGCACTCGGGGCCTGGCAGGCTGGGGAGCACCACCCGGGGCAGGCACTGCTGTGGGTCTGCTGAACATCATGAAGGCATGGCCTGAAAGGAACAGAAAGGGCTTCCCAGGAACTCAGCTGCACCCCAGAACAAGATTTAAGATCTCCAGGAGGACCATGATACCCAGAATCCAACAAAGCTCACAGGTCACTAGCATGCAGGGGCACCGTCCCTGCCCCAAACAAGGGGACTGTGCAACCGCTGTGGCTGGCCCAGAGCTGGCAGCAGGGGTGCCGTTAGCGAGGAGGATTTAAACAGTCACCGCCACTGGATCACACACGCCCCATGTTAAGCAGGGGAATGAGGATACAAAACATGCTGGCGGAATTTCTAGACATGAAAACTCCGACGTCTGAGGGGAGGGGTGTCCTGCGTGGGGCGCTGACAGGTTAGATGCTGCATGGAAAAAGATTCGTGACGTGGCAACAGAAACTGTCTCTAACGACACGTGGAAAAACTTAAAGGGAAAAGCCTTCGTAAGCAATGAGACAACGTTCGGGAGTCGAGTACATGGGTCACTGGAACTGCTGAAACGGAGTGGGGAAGAAAAATATCTGTAGAATAATTGCTGAAAAATTTTAAACTTGATGAAACTCCACAGATTCAAGATGCTCAGGGCTGCTGAGCAAAGAAACACATTAGTCCACAAAGGCATCCCATCACGAAACACCTCAAAAGCAGCCATAAAAGGGAAGCTGTGGACAGAGAAATGCAGATGCTGTGACAGCAGGAGAAAAGGTCACATCGGCCCAGCCCCAGACACGCAGAGCAGGCGACCTCCAGCAGCTGCTTCCGCAACAGCCCCAACTGGAAACAATCCATGTCCGCCAACAGGCGGAAGAATCAAGAAACTGGCCCATCCGTAGAAAAAACCAGTACTGCAAGTGCTCGGCAAATGAACTAGTATCGCTAGTGCCGGCAACTGGACTGGTTAGTACCGCTAGTGCCGGCAACTGGACTGGTTAGTACCGCTAGTGCCGGCAACTGGACTGGTTAGTACCGCTAGTGCCGGCAACTGCTTAGTGCCACTAGTCCTGGCAACTGGACTGAATAGTACCACTAGTGCCTGGTAACTGGACTGGTTAGTACTGCTAGTGCCGGCAACTGGACTGGTTAGTACCACTAGTGCTGGCAACTGGACTGGTTAGTACCGCTAGTGCCTGGTAACTGGACTGGTTAGTACCGCTAGTGCTGGTAACTGGACTGGTTAGTACTGCTAGCACCTTGTAACTAAACTGGTTAGTACTGCTAGTGCCCAGCAACTGGACTGGTTAGTACTGCTAGTGCCCAGTAACTGGAGTAGTAGTGCCAGTGCCCAGCAACTGGACTGGTATCACTAGTGCCCGGCAACTGGACTGGTTAGTACCGCTAGTGCCCAGCAACTGGACTAGTACCACTAGTGCCTGGAAACTGGAATGGTTAGTACCGCTGGTGCCTGGCACTTGGACTAGTACTACTAGCACCGGCAACTGGACAGGTCAGTACCGCTAGTGCCCAGCAACTGGACTGGTCAGGACCGCTAGCACTGGCAACTGGACTGGTTAGTACCACTGGTGCCTGGCACTTGGACTAGTACTGCTAGTGCCCGGCAACTGGACTGGTTACTATGGCTTGTGCCCGGTAACTGGACTAGTACTGCTAGCGGCTGGCAACTGGACTGATTAGTACTGCTAGTGCCTGGCAACTGGACTGGTTAGTATCACTAGCGCCCGGCAACTGGACTGGTTAGTACCGCTAGTGCCCAGCACTTGGACTAGTACCGCTAGCACTTGGCAACCAAATGAGTGCTGCTGTTCATCACAACAAATGAACAGGCCCACATGGCCGAGTCTCAGCAGCTATGGGAGTGAAAGACGCTAGATGAAACAGCCACCTTTTGTGATTCTGCCGATAGGAAGCTCCAGAAGGTGGGCACGAGTCTGTAGTGATGGCGAGTGGAGCGGTGGTCTGCAGTGAGTGGGAGTTGGCAGGGATGGGAATATGAGGGCGCGAGACAGTCTCTGGGGTGAGGGAAACGTCCCCGTCCCAACAGGCAACGCTTCCACGCGTGCATTCGTGTGTCAACGCCCTTGCTGCTGTCCCATTTTAAATGTGTATAGATGAATGTATGGCAATTACATCTCAAGAAGGCTTTTTGAAACAAGCAGCAAATGGACTTTAAAATCATCACAATTCACATAATCCATGTGAAGGACGCTTGTGCTACTCAGAGGAACCTGCCTGGCTTTCATGCCGCAACTCTGTGGCTGGAGGAAGTCAGTGCTATTATTTTGCAGATCCCGCTCGGAGAAGTTCAACAATCCTAAACCTGCTGCTGATTTACGGATTCCTGTTGGTTCCAAGGCAGCTACTTTGTAGTGCTAGTTGTTGTTTTAACAGCAACTTAAAGGTGAATGATCTGCACATTGACAGCATTCCACAAAGTTCAGAGCCGCTCTGGCTGCTGCAAGCACAGGCTCACACGTGAAAGGGCTCCTGTCCATCAGCAGGAATTCTTAACGCTCTGACATCTGCAGTAATCAAGTGTTGAGACTGACAGTGAGGACAAAGGCTGCTTTATTCATAAATGTAAGTGAAGGCAGCGCTGAGCACTATGGCCTCTAGTCCGAGGTTCTCTTGGCTCAGCCTTCCTTGGTGCTGAGCCAGCCTTGGAAGTCTTGTTCCCAGTGCGTAGCCATTCCGGCCAGCGTCATTTTGGACCTCTGGGAGGAGAGCCTGTCAGTCACTGTTTCCTTCTCATGAAAAGATGAAGACGGTGTGAGACGAGGGGCTACCGTGGGCTGGAGTGAGGGAGAGGACCCCAGGGTGGCATCGGGAGTAGGGTGCAGACGCCGTGGCACAAAGCAGCCACAAGGAGAGCAGAGGGAGCGCATCCACCTAGCCACACGTCACCTAGCCACGCGTTGCCCAGTGTTAGGGCGTCTGACGGGAGGGAGCGCGTCCACCCAGCCACGCGTCACCCAGTGTTAGGGCGTCTGATGGGAGGGAGTGCATCCACCCCAGCCACGCGTCTGACGGGGAGGGGAGGCCCTGCTGTGAGAGACATTCAGGCCATCCCCCTACTGCAGCAGCCCCAAAGAGAGAAAGCCAGACCCGCAGAGTGGCAAGCTCAGGTGTGCGGGCCGCTGGGCAATGCTACACAAGAAGTGGTGGAAAGAAACTTTATCGTACGGGCTTAAGACCCAGATGGGGAAAGAAACCCGAACAGGTGATGTCACAACAGAAAACGAAAGCACTGACTTGTTTTGAAGCAAATCACTGGAAACGTCAAGACAAAGACCTTTTTGCTCCAATACAAGGACCACAAACGTGCTGATTCTGACTCCCCAAAACATCAATCAACCAACCTCGCACCCACCCCGAAATAAAACCCTGCGCAAGGCTGGGGAGGAGACGGCCTGCGCCTGGCTGGGCATTGGATGCCCCTTGGGGTAGATGTCGGCCGAAGTTGCCTGTCTGTCTGCATCTGGCCCCCCTTATTTCTGAACATTCCCCAGGGGATACAATACACCATTCCCAGCCAGGAACCTGTGGCACATGGAGTTCCTTCCTGACAACAGGGGTGCTGACTGCCACGAGGCCCTCCCCAGCCCGGCTCTCACCACTGCGTTCCGCTCCACTCTGGCTCGGATCTGGTCAACTTTGCCTTCTATCACTCGGGGGAATATCGAAGAATCTGCTCCTTTGCAAAACAGATAGATTTCTCCTACAAAATGAGAAAAACGAGGAGTTTAATCACAATATGGGGAAGACTAGATTATTTTTAAAATTATGCCATTATTAAAAAACCAACAACCGGGATAGCGGTGTGGAAACCTTTTCAAAGAAGATTTTAATCGATCAGTTAACATGTTACAGTCAGGAAAAAAATAAAACCTACAGATTACCTCCAAAGCCTCGTTTTATTCCTACAACCCTAGACATCTCACAGGAAAGGCGGGAACCAGGAAAAGAACTTGGCTCCGGGCCTCTGTTTTCTCTAGGAAAGACACAAAAGGGGATAAAACGCCCTCGGGACGGGGGCTGGGGTGACCCAAAGCGGGTCATGGTTTCTGAAATGCTGGATGGTGAACACAAATCCCCTTCGGAGAGCCACGTGTCCTCACGCAGAGCGAGGCCGCCGGGCCACCCCCGAACTTGGAAGAGTCACAGGAAATGTTGCGTCATTTTTTCCCACGCCTCCCGTAACACTGCGACTGCTGTGGACATACTTGTGCCGTGAACGCGGGCTTCTCAGGCCTCGGATAAAGCGAGTTTCTCTTTCAGGCACTGCAGCACGCAGCAAAGGCCATGACAGCTCTGCCGTGATGTGACCTGCTCCCGACACACAGAGCCCCCTTTGCTCCTGAAGCATCCCCTGGTCTGCGAAGCCACGTGGCACTCTGCCAGGTGGCTGGTTCGTGCCTGGGCGCAGGAAAACGCCACGGTACTCCATCTCGGCGACGGCAGGGTGGGAGAAGCACCACAGCAGCCTGAGCGGCACGCTTCGGAAACTCCATGCCCAGCTCCTGGCAGCGCAGAGAGAGCCCTGAGACCCCTAGACACTGAGGTCCCTCGGGAAGTCTATCGGGGACCAAATCCAGAGGGCCCCAGGGTGGGCAGGCAGTGGTCCCCAGGGGGGTGGTGGGAGGGACGTGGGGAGGGGACGCTCCTAGGCTGACGACCCGGATCCAAGGCCTGGAGCTTGGACGAGGACTCAGGAGTAGGAACAGGTCCACGTTGCCTTCCTTCTCGGATCCCAGGAAGCGCTAACTCCTGAGACACCGACAGGGAAGCCGTGGAACATGGCTACACCTGACGCTCACGTGGCTGAGGTGACTGCCAACCTGCAGCCAGAGAGGATGGCACCTAGTGATGCGGGTGTTGCCAATACACGGAGCAAACCGGTGCCGAGCAAAGGCTGGAGGGCATGGGAGAGGATGGAGGCTGAGGCTGGAGGGTGCGGGACAGTGAGCAGGTGGGGGACGGAGGGCACAGGAGAGTGGGGAGGCTGAGGCTGGAGGGCACGGGAGAGTGAGCAGGTGGGGGATGGAGGGGACGGAAGAATGAGCAGGTAGGGGATGGAGGGGACGGGAGAGTGGGGAGGCTGAGGCTGGAGGGGATGGGAGGCTGAGGCCGGAGGAGATGGGAGAGTGAGCAGGTGGGGGATGGAGGGGACGGGAGAGTGGGGAGGCTGAGGCTGGAGGGGATGGGAGAGTGGGGAGGCTGAGGCTGGAGGAGATGGGAGGCTGAGGCTAGAGGGGATGGGAGAGTGAGCAGGTGGGGGATGGTGGGGACAGGGGAGTGAGCAGGCTGAAGCTGAGAGCTGGAACCCGGAGGGCCCCTGCAGAACTGCACAGGTGTGACCACGGAGTCTCAGTTGCTTAGCACAGAAAAGCAGGGCCCGGGGGTTAAACCACCCAGCCGATGTCGGAGCCATTTCCCGACTCCCACGGTTTCCAGCCAACGCTGTGGTGTCATCAGATGCCGTTTAGAATAACGATGGTCCAGATGACATAATGATGTATTCTTAAACAGCAGCACATTTTTTACTAGAAATTTCATGTTTCATGGCTCACGACTCATGCCAAGAGCATGTGAATGGCTTAACTTTCCCACTGTTTCAGCTTGTGAATTCTGCTGTAAGACACAGGACACCTTCAGCCTGAAGAGTTGGTCAGGAACAGCCTTGGAATAAAAAAACCCAGAGGACAGAGCAAAAGTTAATCTACAACGAGCAACAGAAGACCGTGTTTTGCAGCTGCTTTGCAGAGCCGTGCACATGCAGGTGATGCGACCGAACACACAGGATCCTGTCCCCAAGACAGCCGGGCTGTGTCGCAGGTGCAGCCGTGGTTGGTGGCTGTCCCCTCCAGGACCAAGAAGGGCTTAGTGCCATTTGGAGAAGAGAAAGGGCTACAGAACCTCAGTTTGAGCCCATGGTGGGGGGTCTCTCACTGGGTCTCACAGACGAGCTCGAGGACATGGAAAGCCAGGCATGACAGCAAATGTCCTGGAAATGGCTGGAAAACGGCACCAAGGAAGCTGCTCCCAGAGGAGCTCTACGAGGGTGCACGGTTAGGACTTTCCTTCTTCTCTTTCGTCTTTTCTGCTTTTCTTTTTCATAGATGAATATGCTTACGCACTCTCCCTTTCTTCTTTCAAGTCAGTGTTCCATGGACTGCGTGCATCTTACCTGGGGTGCAGTGAGCATCCGCAGCATCCCCCCAAAGAGAAAGACTTCACATCTCCCTTTGAAAGGGAATGCCTGATGCAGCCGAGTAGCCTGTGACTTCCAAGTCCTCCCTCAAAATTCCACTGCGGAGAATCCCAGGAAAGCACATGACTGAGGTACAGACATCCGAAAATGGGAGGCCCCTGTTGGGGCTGCCCGGCCCCCCAACACTGAGATCCGGCTCCGACAGCCGCACCTCTACGCAGGGCTGAGCCCAGGGGGAAACACGGGCTGTGAGCTGGCTGCCGGGTCTCCCCGCCCAGCAGGCAGAACTCCAGTGCAATTAGTGTGCCTCTCCAGGGAGGATTACCACTTACAGAACACCTTGCTTAATTACATATTCAAGCTTCTCTTCAAAGTAACTGACAAGTGGCTGGCTTCAGACAGCAGGGCAGTCTCTCCTGCAAGTTCTCAGTTCCTCAGAGAGGCCCACAAGCGTCCCCGTGCGGATGGGAATATTCTCATGGCACAAATGCCTCCAACCTGGGTTCTTCAAGTGATCCAGTAGCTCTTCAGCCTTTTGATGGTAACAGAAGTTATTTACAAAGATTCTGCGGCGTAGCCCACAACATGAGCCCTGAGGTCTTGGGCATTCAGGATGCAGCAAATACCCTTTGTGAGTGTGAGGCAGGGGCGGCAGAGCGTGTGGCAGGGGCGGCCGAACGCGTGGCAGGGGCGGCTCTGGGGTGAGTGCATGGCAGGGGCAGCTCCAGGGTGGCTGATGCTTGCCTTCTTGGGCACTGTGGTCAGCCCCGCAAGTCACGGGCAGCATGTTCCAGTCACGGTTCAACAGCTAGATTCGACTTCTACAGGGAAAACCGCGTGATGGGATGGACCAGGAACTTCCTACCCAGGATGCGTTTATTGCAGATAACTCCAAGTGGCTGAGACTCTCAGGACCGCGCCTCATCCGAGCCGGGGGGAAGGGCTCCGACACACAGAGGTCTCACGCATCCGAACCTGTTCTCAGACCCCGTCCTGCTGATCCCATGGTCCAGCTGGCAGAAGGTCTTCACGGGAGTCCTGGCAACATTCACACACAGACGGTTCCTCATCCTGTGACCATCAGTGGACTTCTCACTGTGGAGCCCGGATTCGTCCCACATTCGACGGCGTGTCTCAGAGGTGATGCGGCGGGACTGTGTCTAAGGAACCAGCGGAGGCAGGTGGCAGCCCCCAGAGCAGCAACGGCACCCTCCTGAGGCTACTGCCCACCCCGGAGCCGCTATGACTCACAGGGCGTCACTGAGAGCCACACCGCCCCCCACAGCTCCTTCCAGGGCTTAGAAAGTGAGGCACCAGGGTCCTGATCAGAAGCAAGCCCGACGGCTCTGATGAAGGCCCTGCTCCATCTACTCTGTGCTAAAGTGAGACTCGGCCGTCTTAGGAAGATGCTGCACGGAGCTCTCCGCACGGAGTCTGTCTGGTTCCTGGGAGCGGCTGTTTGGTTGTTTGCCAGGCATCTTCCCAAAGAGCTAAATGCAGCCTGGTATTGTCCGGTTTTAGGAAACAATGAAGAGTGAGATCCCACAGCTCTCGACAAAGCCCCGCTCCGATGCTGGGCTCTCAAGGGCACAGGATTTGGGAGCACTCGGTGGAGGGTGGCGTGACGTGAGCGTGTTGCTGAGAAGAGCATCGGTTCTGCGTTCGGGATGCGTGTGGGCTGCCGGCGGCCGCAGACGGACGGACGGACAGCCCCACCACAGGGCAACGTCCCGCACGCGGCTGTGGGGCTGAGGGCCGGGAGAGGCTTCCTGAGTCGTCCGTGGAAAGGACAGATGGGTGAAAGGCCCTTGCTATGGGAAAGCACTGCAGGCAGCAGGGAATGAGGCCACTGTGGGGGGTGCGGGCAGTGCCCTCTGGGGACACTTAGGGACAGTATGGCGATGAAGGTGGGTGAGAGCCTCAGAGGGGATGCTGGGAGAAGCTCAGCACCGGCGGGTGGGAGCTCTTAGGAAGCGATGACCACGCAAAGGGGTGGCCCCTGCAGACGGAGCCCATGGGCCCTGCCTGTCCAGGGCAAACAGCCAGGGGCGCCCACGCCTTCGAGCCTCAGCACTGTGAGCGGGAGCCTGAGGGGCTGCGCTGTTGAGTGACCTGTGGCACATGTCATATCCCACGTGACCTGGTGAGAGTGGGGGGAGACGAGGTGGTCCACCTGTGCATGGGGGATGCAAAGTGCCGGGGAGGGTCCCTTACAGGGAGGTCAGGGGACCACAGACGTGTCCACGTGGACTGGAGAGGGAATTGTCCAGGACAGGGGCAGCCACAGGTCAGAGTAGGGGGACCAGGAGCCCACCTGTGTGGGTCACCAAAACATCACGGCGGCCACAGGGCCCTGACTGCGCCCCGCCACTGCTCACCCCAGCTTTCCGGAGCACAAACCGAGTGTGCTGTTCTCACAGACACACTGTCACGGCAACCGCCAATCAACAAAGCTCACTTTGCAATTTTGAACATTATTACAGACACATTTGCAAACCCACACTACCTTTTCCTTGAAAGTGGTTATTTAAAAACATTTTATGTCATTTAGCTCTGCATGGAGAAAAGCGGGTGGGGGTAGGGATGGGCAGAGAAACACTCACAAATGCAGTTAAGCAATTTTCAACAGTAAAGTGGCCCCAGCTCGACACTAAAAGATGGACAGAGCAAGGGCGCCGGGCGTTTAGCCCAGGACTCCCTCCTCAGCATTTCAGAAATGTTTCACTTTTTAAAAATAAAAAAATAGCATTTTGAGAGGATCTGTCTATACTCTTTTAAAAAAGAACAAATCATTCTTAAACACTAAATCCTTAAAGGTCCTGTAGAATTTAGTTATCAGAATAAAACACAACCACCATGTATAACTAATAAAGAAAAAGAAATTTTACCTGTAGCGGATTTTACAATTACACTCATTCTCCTTCTAACTGAGTCAAAACTTAAAATTTCCAGCAATTCAAACCTGAAAGAGAAACGCAGAGGGTCACACTGTCCACGTGGGTCCTCACGCGATTCCATCTGGTAGCTGCGAAGCTCTCCGCAGCAGAATGGCTGGGGCAACCCTGGCCCCTCGTCAGGGGACACACGAGGGCCGCTGGGTGAGGGCTGTCCTCACACGGACGCCCTGAGGCCTGGATTTGAAGGACGCGGTGGGTGTACCAGTGAGGCAGAGTCTGGGCCCCGTGGCACCTGTGGCACCAGCTCCTCACCACGTCCCCACCCGACCCAGGGCATGGGCTCACATTCTGCCAAGCAGGCTACGCTCCCTATGCACCGACTCCCTCCCTAAACATTGCTGAACAGACTCAAAGTTGTGTCAGAGCTCGGATCCTTGCCAATGAACCGGTGTCACCCTAAGAGATCAAAACCATGGAAAAAGCAAAGGACACTGGCGTTTTGCCTGGTGCCGTCCTGTTACCGGAAGACTCAGAAAACCTGTGTGGCGTCTGGAGCATCGGAAGTGTTTGGGAGCCCCTGCTGCCGCCCCTCAGTCTCCTCAGGGCCTTGGACTCAGTGGGAAGCTGAGGAGGGGCTCTGGCCACAGTGCCAGCCCAGTTCGGAGCCAGGGGTTCCTCGGCAGAGCCCTGACGGGGGCTCTCATCTAGTCCACGATCTCATCGCCTCCACAGCTGCAAACCCGGAGCCTCAACAGCAGTGACTTGCGGCCCCCGGGAAGCCCAGGGTGCTGTGGGGAGGGCACAGCCGGTGCCAGTGGAGGGCCCGGGTCACCCTGGAGCCCGGGAAGCCCAGGGCGCTGTAAGGAGGGCACAGCCGGTGCCAGCAGAGGGCCCGGGTCACCCTGGATCCCGGGAAGCCCAGGGAGCTGTGGGGAGGGCACAGCTGGTGCCAGTGGAGGGCCCGGGAGCCCCTGCCGAATCAAGGGGTTTGTCCTTTCTCTTCCACTGGGGAGTTTATTTTCCCTAAGAATGAAATTTTAAAATCCAGGTGTTTTGAGGTCGTCACCACCAGATCTTGTGTCTTTGCTGGAATGGTGACCGCACATTCATGCTTATTGAGTCAGATCTCAGAGAAACCATCCAGGGGAAGCAGCCCTGTGGCTGAACCCAAGCCCTTCTCTAATGGTCCAGCACTTCTCCAGAACATCTGGTAACATTGCCGGGGTGTCACTGGGAAGGAGAGGAAGCGAATTGCGGGAGAACATAGAGAACTTGTCTTTTCCCTCAAATACAGAACCTTATAAAGAACATTCTTTATTCTTTAGTCCCTTCACATCTGAGGGCGAGTTGCACATACCTTTCGACGTGGTTCTCCCTGTTTAATACCTCCATGTAATTGTCCTTCAGCCTCAGGTAGGTAAAGCCAAGTCTGCAATGCGAAGGGAAACCTCAGGGTGAATCTGAGATACTGATGTTCCTCTTGCACTATTTGCTTTGTATTTTGGTAAAGCGTTCTTTTCAAAAAAGAAATACTTTCAGTTAAACAGAGATTATAAACTGCATTATAAAGTTAGGAAATTATCATTATGAACTTATTTACCATCTCAAAAAATCTTCCAAGAGCAACAGAATTTCTGCCCAACCCAGCCCTCCCTGGTACGCAGCAGTGAGGCACTTTCTTGTCAGTATTAATTGTTCTCCGGCAGAGAGTGGCGGGCACATGGCCTGCAATCCTTGCTTCGATGACACCTTCGCTCACTGATTCATGGGCTCTGTTGTTGCTGGTGAGCAGAGAACACGATGCCAGAGGGAGAGTGTCTCTGAGAGGCTGTGACCCCCAGACCAAGCCCCTTGAGTCACGACGGGGAACCAAGGCCCAGCGCAGGCCTTCAGCCAGCACGTGGGTGCACCCATCTGTGCGATGCCTCCTCCTGCATGCCTGAGGGTCAGCGAGAGGCCAGCAGGGGACCCGGGAGACAGACGTGCTTCCCAGCACAGCTGCGGCCATCATCGTGGCACCAGGGGGATGGGAGTGGAGGCCTCTGGCCAGCCCAGGTGGGAGCAGCGGCTGGAGGAAAAGCTTCAGGGCGGGGAGAAGTCTCAAAGGCGGGCAGGGCAGCCTGCCCTCACTTCTAACACCTGTGATGAAGGCAGTGGCATTCCTGGGCACTTGTGTTCCAAGAAGAGAGAAACCCAGCTCCAGGAAGCCTCACCTACGCATGTGTGGGTTTACGCGTGAACGAAGGGCCCCAGTGATACTGCTGACGTATCTGTGCTGCTCAAATTGCACAGAGAAAACACATCAGTTTAGCAGCAACAAAAACATGGCTGTAATGAGGGGAGAAGCGCTAACATGATTCTCACCACACTCAGTCCCTGAAGGCAGTGTCCGTTTATTACTTTTGGAGAGGGGAGATTTGGTATTACAGAAGTCATGAGCTGGGTGGATTTGAAAACGGCTTCCCTGAGTTGAAATTATCCACGTATCTGGAATGCTTATTTTTCCAAGCGTTTGCTTAAAAGGTGGGCGGTGGGAGGTCGTGCACTAGCTCTGCTCTGCCCCACCCAGGTTGTGGCTCTGGGAAGGCTGCTGGGCCTCTGGGCTTCAGTTTTCTGAGACGCAGGAGGGATATTTGTGTTAAAGGAAGGATTGTTTCCATATTTCAAAGCCTGTCGTTATTTGGAATGACCTCTAACTTACTGCAGACCTCAGGAAGAAAAGCCAGCCACGAAAAGTCAGAGCTGAAGACTCATGCGCTGGGGACCAGACACTGCTTATCACGGTGGGAGGGGCTCATACAAGAACGGGGGTCCCCAGAACCTGGGCGCAAAGGCAGCAGAGCTCAGTGTGCAGGGCACGGGGTGGGGCTGAGGACGCCTCCAGATGCAAGTCCCTGACTGGGGCCAGGGTGGGGTTGAGTCACATCAGGAAACCCAGGCAGACCCTTGGCCCGAGACGTACCTCTGGACACCTTCGACCAGCGCCACCTCGTCGGGCGAGGATGAGATGTACACACAGGATTTCCCCCCGTCTGGAGACTTCCTGGGGCCGTCCACGCTGTCATCATCTTTCACCTGGACAGTGTGGCAGAGACAGAGGGCCCGGAAAAACAGCTCCTCGCGCTCCTATAAAAAAGCAGTTCCCAGAACCCACAAATCACTATGCATCCACTGAAGATAGAGGGAAACAGGCACAGACAGAAAACACGAAGGGGGGTTTGGTCCCTGCAGCCGCGAAGGCAGCTTGCGGGCGGTGAGGGGTTATACGGTGGGATGGAATTACAGCTTTCCATCATTCTCAAGCGCTCTGTGGTAACTGAAATTGACGGGTGATGAAGACTGAAACAGGCGTGTCTTCTTCAGCACCGACACGTTTAGAAACCACAGAGGCTTCACGTGCACTCGGAAATGGCGAACAACCACGAGCGTCCAGGGAGACTGAGTCACACGGTGCCGCGAACACAGACATCCACAAACATGCTGGACCCTGGCTGTGCCTCCGCCCCGGTGCCTGCGCGATGGGGACATGCTCCTAACCGAAGCGTGTGTTAGACTAGACATGACCGTGGCACTCCTGCTGTTGACTCACATCGTAACGTTCACCCTGAAACCCCCTAAGAAGCAGGAGCTATTATCCTGCGCCTGCAGCTGCAGAATCAGCATTCAGGAAGGTGAAGAGATGTGCTCAGGGCCACAGCCAGCTGGGACCTGATCCCCAAGGCTGCCCTGTGTGTGGGAAAATTCAGGAATGGCGTCAGCCTGGGACCCCAGTCCTGCCCAGAGATGCTGAGATCTGGAGCCACTGCACTCGGGGTGTACGTGAGAGTGCATGTGTGTGTCTGCGTGTGTGTCTGTGTGTGCATACGGTTTCTGGGCATGTGTATGTGTGTGTGTCCGCGTGTGAGCGTGTGTGCATGTGTCTGTGTGTGCACATGGTGTCTGGGTGTGTGTGTCTGTGTGTAAGCATGTGTGCACATGGTGTCAGGGAGTGTGTGCGTTTGCATGTGTCTGTGTGTGCACACGGTGTCTGGGCATGAGTACGTGTGTGTGTAAGCGTGTGCACACGGGGCTCAGGGAGAGTGTGTGTCTGCGAGTGTCTGCGTGTGAGTGTGTGTGCGTGTCTGTGCACACGGTGTCTGGGTGCATGCATGTGTGTTTGCCCTGCTTCTACGGTTTTCAGAACCAATTCTAACATGGGTATCACCGAGCAGATGTGTCCTAATGGGACACCACACACATCGCACTTTCTGACCATCCCTCCCACTGAAGTCCACAGAGAGGAGGTGGATTTTCCTGGACACTCGAGTGAAAAGGGGTGGACTCAACATGCACGCACAGCCGCCCACTCACTCACACACTTGGACAGCGTGGAGGCTGCCACCTACCCTCCCGTTGACGCTGGGGGACGAGTCAATCATGTCGATTCCTGAGGACTCTGGGAGGACCTGCCCGTTGCAGATGACGTGGGGCACGTAGACGTGGCCTTCGATGCAGCACTCCTTGAACTCCATGTTGTTCTCCGTGAGGGTGCCGGTCTTGTCCGTGAAGATGTACTCCACCTGCGGGCAGGGCACAGCAAGTCAGGACGCTCTGAGGGAGGCCCACGCGTCTCCGAGCCAGACACACAGCGGCTGTTTCCTCCCCAGCTCCCACTGCGACTTGAATAGGCAGTGGATTTCTAAAGGTTTTCCCCCAGACGGACTCCTCACTGGGCCGAGCCACACTCCCGCCCCATCCTTCTTCCCAGCGTCCAGCAGGACCCAGCAGTCCTGGCAGGTGCGATTCTGGACGGGTGGGGAGGCCTCGGGGCACCTTCTCTGCGTTGGGAGCAAAACAGACAAAACAGAGTGTGGTCTCACAGTCACATTCCCCGGAAGGAGACACGGGTGGGGTCAGGGCTCCATTGGTTTGGGAAGACAGAGTGTGAGTGGGTCGTCCCGAACCTTACTTAACAACAGTAAAAACCAAGGCTACGGAGAGGACGAACTTACTCTATCTAAAGTCTTGGAGGTCAAAACCCACAATGCCATGTAAGGTTGAGAAGGTAAAATTCAAGCGAATGAGGACAAAACGAACCTCGGAGAAAACTGTGATATGTGTTAAAGATACAACCCATCTTAACCTCTGGTTTTAGATAAGCTCACGGGTCACATGTTTATCGTGAATAACTGAAGGTGGGAATTCTGGAACAGCGGCAGTATCTCGAGACTGAGTTCGGACGTGCCCATGGGGACGCCTCTTTCCCAAGCACTTTGGACAATGGATATTCAACCTGTGTACCCTTCTTACACACGATTTTTGAAGTAACTTAGAATAAACTCTTATTCAATCTCAAAAGTAATTTTATTTTTATTTATTTTTTTGAGATGGAGTCTCACCCTGTCACCCAGGCTGGAGTGCAGTGGTGTGATCTCGGCTCACTGCAACCTCCGCTTCCCAGGTTCAAGCAATTCTCCTGCCTCAGCCTCCCAAGTAGCTGGGATTACAGGCACGTGCCACCACGCCTGGCTAATTTCTGTAATTTTAGTAGAGATGGGGTTTCTCCATGTTGGCCAGGCTGGTCTTGAACTCCTGACCTCAGGCGATCCACCCACCCCGGCCTCCCAAAGTGCTGGGATTACAGGCGTGAGCCACCACGCCAGGCCCTAAAAACATTTTTAAAAAGGTAAAATGGGTAAGAACGAAACAACAAATGTTAAGAGGTTTTGGTTTATCCTCCTGTTGAGCTTAACATTTGTTGTTCTTATCCACTCAGAGTGTCCAGCCACTGGGCAGCGCCTCATTTAATCTTCAACTGTGATGAATGCATCAACCGTGTTATTATCCCAGTTTCAAGAACGTGGAAACAAAAGCTTAAAATCTCTGGACACAAATCTAGTCAGTTCTGTTAGCTCAGGACACGGAGATAAGATTGTTTGCTTTGTTAATATTAAACAAGTTTGTGAAAGTCTTTGATTTCTTTTTCAAATAGTTTGTTGTTTGGTATGTAGAATCACTACTGACTTTTGGGTGATTTTGTATCCTGCAAATTTAGCAAATTTGTTGATTAGTTCTAAAAGCTTTTTGGTGGCATCTTTAGGCTTTTCTATATATAAGACTGTGTCATCAGCAAACAATTTCACTTCTTCCTTTCCTATACGAATGCCTTTTATTTCTTTTTCTTGCCTCATTACTCTGGCTAGAGCTTCCAGCGCTATGCTGAACAGAAGGGGTGAATGTGGGCAGCCTTGTCTTCTTTCTGATCTTAGAGGAAAAGCTTTCACCTTTTCTCCATTGTGTGTGAAGACAAGCTTTCAGCTTTTCTCCAATGCCAGCTGTGGGTTTCTCATCTATGGCCTTTATTGTATTGAGGTACATTCCTCTACACCTAATTTGTTGAGAGATGTTATCATGAAAGGATGCTGAATTTTGTCAAATGCCTTTTCTGCATACAGATAATCATACGGTTTTGTCCTTCATTTTGCTGACGTAATGCACCACACTTACTGATTTACACACACATCGAGCCACCCTTGCAACCCACAGGTGGTGCATGATCCTTTTGTGTGGTGCTGAATTGGTTTGCTAGTGTTTTGCTGAAGATTTTTACACTTTGTTCATCAGGGGTCCTGGACTGCAATTTTCTTTTCTGGTGGTGGGACAGTCAACCCTAAGCCCAGAGACGTTCAATGCTGCCATCACCCTCAGCTCTCACAACAAAAGACAATGCACGCCTGCCTGCTCAACTCGGCCTGAGGCAGGATTTGTGTTCCAAGGCACTCGTGCTCAGGAGGCAACACTACCTGGTAGAACAGGGCACTGCCTGCTCCTGATTCGGTTTCTCATCTGAGAAACAGGGCAATGGCACTGAGCACACAGGACACAGAGAAGGTGCACAAAGTGCTGTGCACAGGATCTCCACGGGACAGAGGCAATGGCACTGAGCACACAGGACACACAGAAGGTACACAAAGTACACACAGGACACAGAGAAGGTGCACAAAGTACACACAGGATACAGAGAAGGTGCACAAAATACACACAGGATACAGAGAAGGTGCACAAAGCACTTCTGGTACAGGATCTCCATGGGAGATGGTTGTTTTCGTCGTAGACACAGACACTTGAGTGGTGGATGAATCTCTACTACACATATAAAAGAAGTCATGTTATCATACTGCACATCGACGGTGGGCACGGGCGTTTACCCACGGAGCTGCGGTCAGATGAACCTGCCTTTTGGGCTTGTCCACCTGTCTTGACCTCAGTGTGTCCCCCCGTGAGCAACAGTACACACTTCTCTGTGTGTGGGGAGGTCAGCCTCCAGGCTGGAGCCTGGTTTTGGTCAGGAAAGAATGACAGAAATCATATTCTGTTTTGCTGGACTCCAGACAGACGGATGGAGGAGGGCAGAGAAGAAATCTGCTGTACTCAACACTGCTGGGCACTTTCCTTGCCACAGAAAAAAGTTATTTCCCAATGAACTTATCAGAAGCTCACAAAATGTACCATCTATTGTTGAAAAGGAGAGAGAATATTCCTAGGTAAAAGCACCTGACTACTGAGCAACTAAATCAGCGTCTGCGCATTGCTGACTGAGACAACACACCACTGTGAGGAGTATGGGACACGCTGGACGAACACACTGAAAAGTCAAACTCATCAAACGCAAAACATGATCCTTCCGTTTGTCCACCTTCCTCACAGGAGGCAGACAGAGGCCTCTGTATCTGCCGGAGTCTAAGTCTATTTACAGGCTGTCATCTGGGAGGGAGATGGAGATTTCAGCTACCGGTCTATAAAGTGGCCTTGTTTGCTAAAATACCCCTCAAAATTGCTTTCTATTTCTACCGAAAAGACCAATTACCCTTTCCCGGTACCTGCTCTGGCAACCCTGCACTCTGCAACGTTAAGGCTGGGAAGGTAGGGAAGGTCACCGCTCTAGGCTGGGGACACCCAGGGAATGGGTCTTTCCCTAGCTCCCTTCCCAAGCCAGCAGGTCTGGTGTGTGCCTCCCGGTGGTGCGGCGGCAGGGCGGCGGTCGCACCAGACTCTGCACTGTGCACCTTGTGTCCATGATCTCATTTCATCCACACCCCAATCCTGCAAGGCCAGCATCTGTTATCATCCCCATTTCACAGACTGAGACTCGAGGCGTGGCAGTGAAGCCTGAGCTCCCGCAGCCATCACGCAGCAGCAGGATCTGAACGGAGGCGTCTGAACTCTCTGCAATCAACCAACTCACTGAAAGTCTGGCTTACTCATCTTTAAAGTGAAAATACCCAGCTTGCTATGAGACTTGAATATCAGGTGCAGAAGCGAGTGCAAGGCTGGCAAAGCCACTTTTACCCACCAGCCCTGATTCACATCTGCACCCAGAAAGGGTTCTGCGGTTCTGCCCAGGAAGCTCCAGATGAGTTTCCAGGAGTTGGCGAGTGCAGGTAATTCTGCATCCATTGTAAATATAATAGCACTGCTGACTGTTTCATACATAGGGTTCAAAACAACCCTGCTGCCATCTTACCCCAGCTCCAGGGACAGCCACGCTCGGACGACGGTAACAGGACCTGAGGCACGTGAAGCAGACTCACCCAGAAGCTAATAAATCACAGCAGAGGACTCAGGAGACACCAACCTGTCCCAGCTCTTCGTTGAGGTCCGACGTGTTCACCAGAGGCCCCTCGCCAGTCTCCTCGTCAAACATGTCCTCGTCCCAGGTGATGAAGTAAGAGCCGAGGAACTTCTGCATCTCGACTGTGACGTACATGGACACGGGGATGATGTAGTTAAAGAGGACCATGAAGGCCAGGAAGTCCGTGAACGCCCTGAGGAACTGCGAGAGCAGAAGGTGCGGGTCAGCGCCTCTGCCAGGAGGGACAGCAGGGCTCCAGCACGCTGCTCTAACACCTCAGGCTTGGACATCAGTTATACGAGTGCTACTACTAAATACAAGATTTCAGAGTCCAAAGACAAGGACGATGGGTGGGGGCAGCCACTGGGTCACCTGGTCTCTGCACCAGGACCCGCCGGGTCCAGGGGCTGAGCTGCAGGGCTGCCCTGCCAGCAAGTGGAGATTAAATCATGAGTTAAGACAAACACGCGCCAGTGACAGGAGATATGCCCACCAGACACCTGCGGCAATTTTACTTCCGCATATTCACAGGATCTCTTTGAGTCTCTTACAACCAAACTTACTTGGTAATAACCTACAGATGTAAAAACTAAGCCTGGTGAAATGACTTTTCAGTATACTTTTATCCTGATCTGTGGGGCCATGTTAGTTTTGTGGGAGGGACAGATGATGCAGAGACAGCCCCACTCTGGACGGAGGGGACACGGGTCTGGGTTTGCACACGGCCCTGCTCTAGGCTCAGTCAACACAAGTCTGGGTTTGCATACGGCCCCGCTCTAGGCTCAGTGGACAGGATCTGGGTTTGCATACGGCTCTGCTCTAGGCTCAGTCAACACAAGTCTGGGTTTGCATACTGCCCCGTTCTAGGCTCAGTGGACAGGATCTGGGTTTGCATACGGCTCTGCTCTAGGCTCAGTCAACACAAGTCTGGGTTTGCACACGGCCCCATTCTAGGCTCAGTGGACAGGGTCTGGGTTTGCACACAGCCCTGCTCTGGACTGGGAGTAGACCTTTTTTCCAAGTATTTACCACAAATATGTGCCATTTATCTCGTAATCATTAACAAGCATTTACTCAGCACCCTCTAAACAAACGACACAGTGCAAGTATTTAAGGCACTGTCCTGATGATTTCACTGTGGCAACCTCTACCTTTCCAGATCCAAAGATGGCAGGAGCAGTTGGTGTCCACTGAGACTTTAAATTTCACTGAATGCATCTATCACAGAGATTGAATCAATCAAGGCTGCTTTTTGCCTACAGTAAATTCACTCTCATCTTTTTTCTTGCACCACATTTTCGTAATAATGGCCCACAGGTCACCTTGGATCATACAAGGGCAGTGATTGTCCATACCAGATTCCTCTGTCTTTCCGACTCCGTTTTCTGATTATACCACGGCTCATCCCGAAAGGGCTCACTCTGCCACACGTATTTCAGCACAGTGTTTATCAGGGCTTTGCTGATCAGAATGCAGAGGTACACGATGAGGAACGCATTCATCGATCTAAAACAAAAGGACAGAGGTGATCACTGGTCCCCGAGGAAATGAGCTCTGCACTTTGAAGAAACAGAACAGGAATGGCACGGTGATGTGTTCGCCCTCAACGCATCACGGTGGGTCCTCTGTACCTGCGCCCATGCCATGGTCCCTGGCACATACTCCTAGAGGCCAAAGGTAAGAGCCAAGAGGGGGAAAAGTGCCACAAGCAGGAGCGAGAGGGCTTCTCACAGCCACACTGCACACTGTGGACAATGCTTCTGCACTGCCTGGACTTGCGTCGTTGAAAAGAACATCCAGAAATCAATTTCTACCATTAAGCATCAACAAATTAGTCCAAAACTTAGTGACTAACCACCACTGTAAAGGAAGGAAGGAAAGGAAAGGGAAAGGAAAGAGGAAGGAAGAGAGGGAGGGAGGAAAGGAGGGGAAGGAAAAGTAAATAACTCTGAAAGGAAGTGTCCTCAGTACAGGAAAAGCACAGATCCTTAACTAAAGTTTTAGCAGATCTCAGGAAGAAGCCTTTCTTTTCCAGTACAAATTCAGCTACCATCCTGAAATATTTATCATCAGGACTCTAATGAAAAGATGACTCTGTTCGCTCTTCGTAAAACCATAGCAGAGAATGCATGGTTTCGACCAAATCTGAGAGTTAAAACTAAGCCCATTTGGAGTTTTTCATGAAATGGTGGGAGGAGCTGTTGGACACTGGACCTGCCATGAACCTGGTACCAGGCGTTAGAAAGCGCAGGAAGGAGGGGTGTGGCCGTCCACCTCACCGCAAAATAAGAAAGTCCCTCTGAAGGGTCAGCTCTGCAGTTACTAAGATGCTGTATATTGGTAAAGGAACCTCCAATAAGGCCAAGAGGAAGCTACTTCCATCACGCGCGTCCAGCGACAGGGCGGGGAGCCTTACTTTTCCACGGCAGACCGCTTCTGGGATTTCGATTGGTAATTTAACGCCATCTTGGTTTCCATGCCCGTGTAAATAGCCACACCTACAGGGAGGAAAAGCAAGCGTGATGACCAGGGCACAAGTGTGTCTTGCCTTATGGTGAGTTACACACAGCTGCGGGGAAAACCAATTCTTGGGTAAAGTGAATCCTATTTTTAATTTCACAAACTAGTGTCCATAGTCACGTAACACTAGCACTTGAATCCTTAGGATAAAGACCTTTCTTCATGTGTAGGAAGCAATCTAAGCTTCGTTTTTCAAGAGTTCCCGTCTTAATATACACCGGGCCCGCCATATCCACGAGTTCTAAATCTGCAGGTTCTACCAACTGGGGATGGAAAAGATGTGAAAAAAATCCCCAATAAAAATAACAATACAATGATACAAAATACAGATGATAAAAATAGTAGAGCGTAACTACGTACCTAGCATTCACATCGTGCCAGGTATTAGAAGTAATCTAAGATGATGTGAACTACAGGGGTGGACATGCGTATGCTACATGCAAATAGGGGCCTTGGGCATTCATGGATTTTGACATCTGCAGGCATCCTGGAACCAGTCCCCCAAGGACACCGAGGGACAGCTGCATAGCATTCTCTGACAGTAGGGCACACAAAAGTTACCTCGACTAAAACAGACGATAACCCACAAGAAACGGGAGATCCTAGCCAAGAAATGCAGACATGAAAGAAATCTCCTGCACAACTAAATTTCATAAATTCCTTCAGGGATGCAACTTTCTGTTTCTGAATCCAAAACTAGAGGCCTTAATCCGTAAGCCGTAATCTCTGAGGCTGCTGCTTCAGGACCACACTTATTCACTGATCCGAATCTCAGTGGGACAGAACTTGCGCGGCCAGAAAGCCTCCAGCACCTCAAGGCGCCAAGAAATGCTCTCAGGGTTCCGCGGCGGGTTTTAACTTTGCTTCACGCATCGTTAATGTTACAGGCAATGGTGAATAATTAATTAAATATTTACCAAAGATTTTCTCGGTGTTCTTCAGTGTAGCTCCTCTCAGTAGCAGGTTTTCCGATCCTAAGGGCCTGTAAAGACACGATGATCAGAAATGACACGGACATGAAGGCAAGCGGGCAGGATGGGGGCAAGATGCAGACGCGAAACCTGCTAGTTTGCTCAGCAGATCTCATTTTCCGAGGAGATGGCGTACACGGCGGTTTGCTTATATCCAGATGATTAAGTCAATCCAGGTGCATGTGAACACACGCGGTCTTATCCTTGCGGGGGACGAACACATGGCTCCAGGAGTAGCGGCAAGGGCCTCCTGGCAGTGCTTGTGGAACATGGGACCTCAGGCCCCGCCCAGACCCACTGAGCTGCGCCTGACAGCCTCAGCAACACTCCCCAGAGACCTCTAGAGCAGGGGTCCCTGCGGTGGCCCCACCAGTGCCATCAGCAGCACCTGGAGCCAGTCAGGAACATCATACTAGTCAGGAAGATCGTCCAAAGCTGTCAGAACCTGAAACCCTGGGGTGGGGCCCAGCAGCCCTCTCCTAACAAGCCTCAGGTTGAGAACAGTTGCACTAGAAGGTCCCAGAATATTCTGGAAAGGCTAAAGAGGGGTGGATGTGAAATAAAATAAAAGTCACTCAACCTTCAACTGTTTCTTTTTTCTTTTTTTTTTTTTTTTTTGAGACAGGGTCTCACTCTGTCACCCAGGCTGGGGGCACGATCACAGCTCATTGCAGCCTTGACCTCCTGGGCTCAGGTGATCCGCGTGCTTTGGCCTCCCAAAGTGCTGAGATTACAGTTGGCCATCCCCATGCCTAGCCTCAATCGTTTCTATTACATCCTCAGTGAGATTCGGGGAGTCCCATGTGGCATAGTCTTACTCCTGGAGACAAAGGCTGACACTCTATCTGGCCGTTAGAAACACTGGTAGTCACGCTGCAAAGCTCCTCTGAATGGGAGGACCTATAAATCAGGGACAGTCCATGCATGGCTACTTTGGGGGAAAACAAGCAACAGCCAAAGAACGTAAAAATCTCACACATGGAGGAACAAGCCCCACTCTGCGCACTGAAGCCACGGTGAGCAGCAGCGGGGTCTCTGTCACCAGGGGCTTATATCTTGATATAACAGGGTTCCCTGCTGATGGAAAAATAATCTCTTCTCATTTCCTAAGTAGTAAAGGAGAAATAAGCAGCAAGATTCAAATTTATAAATTTTGCTATTGGCAATATCCAAAGGATTGCTTCGGAGGGTAAAGGGTCAAAAGTGTTTGCTGAAGTTTGCTTTCCATTTGTCATTGTATTTACTGTCCTTCTATCACGGAAAGGTAAGAACCTACTGAATATTATGAACGTAAAATGCATGGAGCATATTTGGTCGACAGACCTCAGAACTGCATCCGGCTGAAGACAGGCAGAGTGGAGCTGCCCAGAGGGAGAGGTGTCTGCCCCAGGCTGTGGCTGAGGGCTCCACGCACCTCCTCGCCTGGCAGTCACTAAAGATGGAGCTCCCAGGCTGCGTATGGGTTGTCTGGTTGTGTTATAAGGATTGTCAGCTTCTGTTTGCAACACACTTATAATAATTCCTGTCAAGTGTTTATGAAAACAAACAGCTTTTTAAATAAGCTGACTCAGGGAAGTCTAAAAATAATTTACTTGGAAAAGTACTTTGCTTCTAGTTAGGACAGAAGGAAGAAGAAATGTCACTCTGGATGGGCTGAGAATTTGGGTGTGTAATTCTTAACTGTCCACATCACAAATTTACAAACATCTTCAATAATCTAAATATTAAAAGTCCATTGAATAGCATAAATATTTAAAAGTGAAACTAGGCCAGGTACGGTGGGTGGCTCACGCCGTAATCCCAGTACTCTGGGAGGCCAAGGTGGGTGGATCACCTGAGGCCAGGAGTTCTGAGACTAGCTTGGCCAACATGGCAAAACCCCGTCTCTACTAAAAGTTACAAAAATTAGTTGGGCGTGGTGGCACACGGCTGTAATCCCAGCTACTCGGGAAGCTGAGGCAGGAGAATTGCTTGAACCTGGGAGGCGGAGGCTGCAGTGAGCTGAGATAGTGCCACTGTACTCCAGACTGGTGACAGACTGAAGTAGAGCGAGACTCTCTCTCTAATAAAATAAATAAAATAAAATAAAAGTGAAACTAGAGTTCGTATCAAAATGCAAAATACATTAGCAATTATCATCCCAAGTTGCTCAGCAATAAACTTGGTCTAACTATAAAGATAAAAAACCTGCAATGTTTACTATTTTAGATTCATCTCATAGGGAATATGAATAAACCCAAGTCTGTTTACTCATTCAAACACAAATTAATTCTCATGGCACACAGAAATACAAGTTACTTCTCCAAAGTAAGAAGGAATTTACCTTTAGAACAGTATATATTTAGGCAAACCAAGGCAAGGCCACTATCAATTCTCAAAAGCACCTCCGAGCCTGCTGATGGGTAATGATGACAAACACATGCTACGAATAAGAAGTGCACACATGGTTTTCTTAAAACAGTAACTCCAGGAGACTTACAAGGAGCTAAGCCTCAGGGACGTGCATTTCAGGAACTATTCACTTTGCAATAGTTTCCCAGTGAGTGTGTTTCTGTGTTTGGGAGACGTGTTGTTTAACACTCACTGCTGTACCTACGGAGACATCAACAACTCGGAGAGTGCTTACGATGGAAGAAAAATCATTTCCCTAACAAGTGCAGTTTATGAAGAAGACGCGACTTTAAAACCTAGTGAAAGCCAATTCCCTCAACTATGACATTCAAATATTTCATCAGCAACAGATGCTAGATCTTGAAATAATGTCAGAGAAAATATCCCTAGGCCTGGGAGCTGGGCGCTGCCCGGAGCTGGGCTCAGCACAGGCTGGCTCTCAGCTGAGGCTGCCTCGGGGCCATAGATGAGGTGTCTGAGGGTCGCTGTTTCCTCATGGGTATGCGGTGTGACTGCCCCTGAGTCCACGCTGGTGAACGGGAAGGCAGAGCCGCCGACTGTGAGCTGCCCCCTGCCTTGTCCCGGTTACCAATTCCACCTTCTCAGGTAGGTGTGAGCCTCACATAGGCCTTGAGCCAGTAACGCACCCCAGTAATGATGGCAAGTGGATGAACAGACTCCCAAAAATGGCCTCAAAATTAGAAGTCTTTCAACTTCACATCTGAAGACAAATCAGTACCCGAATCATGAGAGGGCATTTCTCACAGGGAAGCTGTACTCTGCCCTTCACTATGAAACTGTTCCATGGGACCCTGACACCTCCCGGCCTGTGAGACGACCCTCTGGGCAGAGTCTTGGGTGAGCACTTGTTTCATGAGCATCACTAACGTGTCAACATTCACAGATGTGTGCCTGAGACAAACCACAGACAAGAGTGGAGCCTGGCCCCATGGGAAAGTGGAGCTCCACCTTCCAAATCCACTAGAGCAGCTGCCGTAGAAACCCTCGTCTGTCAAAGAATGCATTTCTAATGCACCAAGGGCGATGACCATGGCCAAGGCATCTGCAGAGGCACTCACCTCACCACGGGATCGTTCAGGTCACTGTAAACGTTGATGCGGCCCACAAACCTGGTGACAGAAAAACCTTGTTACTGACTGGATGCGTCCAGCAGCCCCCCGGAAGTGTGCGAGTGGCCTGCCTGCCTTCCTGTCTCCAGAGGCCGCTGTGAGCGGCGCGTCTTCACCCGGCCTGCTCCACATGCAGCTAAACCAGCTCCGCTCCAGCCCCTTTCCTTGTCGTCCTTTCTGTTTGGATCAGCCCATGGCTTCAGTGATTTTCCTTAACCCACAGTTGACAAACGTCTTTCACAAAATAAAGAAAACTTATTCTTCTTTTTCCCCACAAATATAGTTCCATTAAGTCACTTCAAATATTTGTATAAAAAGCTACAAATCTGAGTGGTACAAGTCTATGAGAATAAATAAGCGATGTATTTTTGACTCAGCCTTAATCTTTAAGCAGTGATTTACATTCTCTCCAAACCACCAGATGGCTGGACTACCTGGGGTGAAAAGCAAGAGCAACGTTGAGGGCATAAAATCCCTTTCTAAAGAACCCGAAGCCCCTGCTTACTTGTAGAGGTCGGGCTGGGGCTGCTCACACTCGATGGTGGCGTGAAGTCCGCCGATATCCTCCTCCGTATGGAAGCCCTTGGTGTCCTGGACTGCGTAATGCGTCTACAAATGCACAAGACGTGTGAGCTCACCACCAAAATGGTCAACACAAACCCAGACACTGCTGCCTCCAACCAAGTGATTATAAAGCCTGGACGACCCTATGAGTTTGTACACGTTCAATAGTTACAGGAAGATAAGGTAATACTGTTATTCCTGCATCTATTAGGTGCCAGAAAATTCTAATCCTTCCATTCTTACCCAGTGTCCTCAACTTAAAACTAACAGGACAGGAGCAATGCTCAAATTCCTCAAGTGTGGACACTGATTTATCTGTCAAAGCAGTAGCCAGTAGCTATTAATTAGGAAACAAACCCAGGACCTGAAATATCCCTTTGCTTTTACAGAATGCCCTGTTGTTTAGGGGAGTGGTCATGGGATCACTTCACTTCACTTCATTTTCACTACCCGGCAACAACCGGCCCGTGCCCGTCGCTGTTGGGTGGTAAACGCCTTCTACTTAACTGTTCGCGTGGCTGGACCAGGAGACGCCTCAAGCCTGCGTGTGCGTCAGTTTTACCCAGAGCTTCTGAAGCCCCTGATTCCTGGGTTCAGCCCCAGAGTTTCTGATGCAGCGGGGCCAGGGAGGGCCTGAGAACTGCACTTCTAAGATGTGCCCAGTGATGCTGCTGCTGCTGCTCTCAGAGCACATTTTGAGGCCTGGTGACCTCAGTAGCATCTGTGAGCACGAGCAGGGGACTGAGGGCGGACCTGAGGTGGGCATGAGGGCTGCACTGGCCCTGCCTTGGGAGGAGAGAGGAGAAACTTGTGCCCAGGGATCTGGGAAGAGACAACAGCATCTCTGAATCCCTTCCTGTGTTTCTTTCTAGTGGAAGAGTATTGGACAAATAAAACACAGAAGGAGTCAGAACAAACGAGAGAAACAATCACTGCACCATCACCAAATGCACAAATCAGGGGGACACGGTCACCGCTGCATCACCAAGCACACAAACGGTCACCACTGCGTCACCAAGCGCACAAACGGTCACCGCTGCGTCACCAAGCGCACAAATGGGGGTCGGGGGTAAATGATCGCCGCTCCATCACCAAGGGCACAAATCAGGGGGCGCTTACTTTCTAAATTCAGTGGGAATTCTCTAACTATATCCTCACAAGAGCCCCTGGGAGACAGGGCTGTCCCCATTTCACAGATGCGAAGACTCCAGATAAGTGAACAAGCCTGTGCAGTCACGTGAGCCCCACGGGATCCCAGTAGAAGTCGGCTGTACCCTTCCCACGCCCCTACTCTGCTTTTAAGGAAAGGGTTCAAATAATTCCAGTCCCTCAAGCTAAACAAAATGCACAAAAATGACATTAGAGAACACAAAACTATAATGCAAACTGCAAAGCCACAAAAGGTCAAAGTGCACTAGCTATTTTAACATCTTCCACAACTGCTACAACATTTCATCTGGACAAACATGGTACATCTGGAGGCCCACAGCATTTGTTCCCTAGCATGGCTGGGACTCGTCTGAGCCTGACCAGCCACAGTCTGCAGGGAAGGGGTGCAAAGACAGCCACTGGCTGCAGAGTGTGAAGGGCTCACATGGTCTCTGGATGGGCGGAACCTTAACCTCCTCCCAGGTTCCAGAGGGACCAGCAGCCGCTTACAATGAATTCCTGAATCATCCAGGGATTCCAGCCCCCCAGAAGCTGCTGACAATCTATTATGTTAGTGTGTTCATTCTCTGGGATACGCTACACAGAAAATGTGCAAGCAAATTTAACTGAAAAAAGTCCACAGGATTTTCAATTCCTGATACATATCATGAATTATCTATGAAAGACTAGCATATCCTTCAGTGATTTTGTAAAGAAAATGTCTCCATCTCATAGTAGACACGGCTTACACCCACAGGTATTACCTAAATACCATTTTAGAGTTGCACTTTTGTGAGTTCATGACTTAGCTGAATCCACTGAGCTATGCTCACTTTCATAAACTCCTTAGAAACTTCCAGATTTTTTAAATAATAAGAATCTTAAAATTAATGGTGCTGTATCTTTTCTTTCATGATTGTCAATTAAAATTCTTGCAGCATCAACTGCCTGTACAGAATTTTATACTGAGTGCAGGAAATTACTTATGTAGTAACTTCAGAAAATCCTGATTAAAATCCTGATTACATTCACAAAAATGACACTCAGTGAAGTAACAGGCAAAATCTAGAATTGTGTGTGACTTTTCACATAATTCTAGGCCAGTTTTCATATTAATTTTAACTAGTAGAAAGAAAATTCTTAAAATTCCAACAATCTATTCATTAAATCCTGAATTTGACACATTAGCTAACTGACACAGGCTAACACTGAAGTTATTTCTGTTAACCTGAGGTGACTGGTTGTTACAGACATTGAGAGTGGAGAGAAAAAGTGGGAAAGAAATGGGGAGGTGTAAGTCAAAGAACACAAGGTAGCAATATTTAGGATGAACCATCTAAAGACCCAACGTACAGCATGAGGACTAGAGCTGACAAGACTGTGTGGGGCTCTGGGTTTCTGCTGCACTGAGCGGACACGAGCATGCTGGGCTCAGAGTTTTGCTGCATCGAGTAGGTTATGGCTGCTCCTGCACAGGTGCCAGGGAAGAGAATGGGAAACCATGTGAGATGTGGATGTGTTAATTTGTTGAACTCGAATAACAATTTCTCTATAAAAATATGTATCTTATAACATCATAATATATGCCTCAAATATACACAATACAATTTATTTTGAAAAAGGAAAAAGAAGAAAGTGGAAAATAGGAGGAAGAAAAAGTGAGGAAAAACTTGGCTGGCATAACTCCCTAGGTTTTCATTGCACCCACTGAAAACGCTGACTTTTCAAACAGGATGTTAGTTTCTGTGGCTACACAGGCATGGTCTGAAGCACGACAGGAAGACCCTGCCCTGGAGTCTAATGGAAAGGCCCCTTACTTTATGGCTGGATTCTCCGTCCAAGCTGGCGGTGGTGACGTGGCACGTCCCGTCTCCCCGGTTGCTGGAAAGGAAGATCAAGTCACAGGGAAAGGTCTCATCCTCCTTGACCATGACAATGTCCCCAACCTACAGGACAAAGCAGAAAGGACGGTCAATGGAAAGTGCCTCCGTGAAAGCCGGCCCGTCGTGTGGGACTGCTTCCCTCAAGCTGCTCATCTAGTCACAGGTAGATATGGGGATGTGGACGTGGTTCCAGGAAAAGACTCTTGCCAGACATTCTGCTGGGACCAAGGAAAGACAAGGTCAGGTTTCAATGTTCTAACTGCAGATCCAAGAAGTGGCAAAGTACAGCACGATCGAATATTCTGCAGCAAAAACACAGACAAACGCCTGTAACAAGGTTATCTTTGATTCAGACCAACGAAGATGAGTTGGAGTGTTCCATGAGCGCGGCCAAGTGGGAAGTACTCCTGGGAGAAGCTCTGATCTAAATCTAGGTGTTTCATGAACCAGGTACTCGAGTTCTGAGAGTTTCTCCATCAACAGAACCAAGGCGCTGCCCAGATCATCAAAGCATGAGGACAAATAAAGCAAAAGTAGCAACAACGTTTCAAAAACTAATGTAAAAATCAATCACAGAAAGTTCATCATGTGGGCTTTTAATGAAAGGTTATGGTCTAGTTTGTATCTGTATCCATTTTACTTCATCAGGGAGGAAGGCATCTCAGTGGTTTGGGCAGTGTGTCTGGAGGGTCTGGAAGGCATCGCAGTGGCCTGGGCTGTGTGTCTGGAGGGTCTGGAAGGCATCCTAGATCTCGGCTGTGTGTCTGGAGGTGAGGAAGGGCATCGCAGTGGCTGGGCTGTGATGTCTGGAGGGTCTGGAAAGGCAAAATCGCAGTGGGCCCGGCTGTGTTCTGGAGGGTGAGGAAGGCATACAGATCCCAGCCGGCTGTGGTGTCGGAGGGTGAGGAAGCATCGCAGTGGCCTGGCTGTGGTGTCTGGAGGGTCCTGGAAGGCATCATCGCAGTGGGGGGGGCGTGGCTGTGGGTCTGGAGGTCTGGAAGGCAATCGCAGTGACCTCCTGCCTGTGTGGTCTGGAGGTGAGGCAAGGCATCGCAGTGAACCTCTCTGCTGTCGGGTCTGGAGGGTGAAAGGAAAGGCAATAGCAGGTGACATCTGCGTGTTGTCTGGAGGTGTGAGGAAGGCATCGCAGGGCCCTCTGCCTGGCGTGTGTCTGGAGTGAGGGAAGGCATCCGCCGGTGGCTACGTTACGAAGGTGGGTCGGGCTGGGCCTGTGTGTCTGGAGGGGAGGAAGGCATCCGCAGTGGCCTGGGCTGTTGTGTCTGGAGGGTGAGGAAAGCCAAGTCGCGGGGTGGCCTGGGGGCTGTGTGTCCTGAGGGTGAGGAAGGCATCGCAGTGAACCTCTGCTTGGTGTATCGGAGGGTGAGGAAGGCCATCGCAGTGACCTCTGCGTGTGGTCTGGAGGGTGAGGAAGGCATCGCAGATCTCAGCTGTGTGTCTGGAGGGTGAACGATCATCAGAACCCTCGAGTGAGTGGCTGCAGGGCTCCAGCCAGTCTCGCTGCCACTCAGGAGGCATGCCAGGATCGAGGCATCACCATGCTTCTGTCTACACTGCAAACAGAGTTCTCTATACCACTACATGATGGTCACAGCACACTGCAAATTTGTGAGACTTTAAAAGCAGAGGTTACTCTTCCCAAATGGACCTATGGGTTTAGTAAAATCCCTATGGAAATCCCAGTAAGGATGTTTATAGACATAAATGAACTAATTGTAAAATTTACATGGGAAGGCACAGGCTCTAGATTAGCTAAAACAACCTTGAAAAAGAAGACTGAAGAGGAATGAATCCGTATCCCTGATACGGGGCTTCTGAGATAGCTACAGTGACCCACGGTGTGGGATTGGTGGGGCATGGGGACGGAGACCAATGGGACAGACCAGGGAACCAGAAACAGACCCACGCAAATGTGTTTAACTGATCATGACAGAAGGCAAGGGCCACTCCGTGGAGGAGGGACAACCGGCCAACCCCTGGTGCAGGGGCGATCGGACAGCCACAGGCTAAATAAGGACAGAAACAAACCCGACTGAAACCTCACACCTTATACAAAAATCATCTCAAAATGGATCATGAACTAAAACGTAAAACATGAAACTATAACACTTAGAAAGAAACATGGGAGAAAGTCTTTGGGTCTCAGGACCAGGCAAAGAATGCTTCATTCAGGACACTGAATGTAAAGTCTGCAAAAGAAAAAAAAAAAAAAAACTCGGCTGGGCGCAGTGGCTCACTCCTGTAATCCCAGCACTTTGGGAGGCCAAGGCAGGCAGATCACTTGAGGCCAGGAGTTCGAGACCAGCCTGGGCAAAATGATGAAACGCCATCTCTACTAACACTAAAAAATTAGACAAGCATGGTGGTATACACCTGTAATCCCAGTTACTTGGGAGGCTGAGGCAGGAGAATAGCTTGAACCTGGGAGGTGGAGGTGGCAGCGGGCCGAGATTACGTCATTGCATTCCAGCCTGGGCAACAAGAGCAAGACTCTGTCTCAAAAGAAATAATAATTAAAAAAAAAAAAATCAAGAAATTGGACTTGAACAAAATTAAAAACGTTGGCTTTGTGAAATATCCTGCTGAGTGTTCAAAATCATATACCTGACAAAGTACTACTATCTAGACTATATGACCTCTCAACATGTAACAGTAAAAAGCTCAAAGAATCCAGCTAGAAAAATGGGTAAAAGACATGAAGAGTTACTTATTTTTGTTTTATTTTATTTTATTTTATTTTTTTGAGACGGAGTCTCGCTCTGTGGCCCAGGCTGGAGTGCAGTGGCTTGATCTCGGCTCACTGCAAGCTCCGCCTCCCGGGTTCACGCCATTCTCCTGCCTCAGCCTCCTGAGTAGCTGGGACTACAGGTGCCCGCCACCACACCCGGCTAATTTTTTGTATTTTTAGTAGAGACAGGGTTTCACCGTGTTAGCCAGGATGGTCTCGCTCTCCTGACCTCGTCATCTGCCCGCCTCGGCCTCCCAAAGCGCTGGGATTACAGGCGTGAGCCACCGCGCCCGGCCAGGACATGAAGAGTTGTTTTTACTGACGAGGATACACAGATGTCAAACAAGTGCGAAAAGATGTCCCACAGAGCCATCGGGGACACGTTTAAGCTGCACCGAGACATCAGGAACAGCAGTAACACCCAGGGCTGGGGAAGATGCTGGCAATGTTGTGGGTGGGAATGAAATGGGATAGCTGTGCTGGAAAACGGTTTGGCTGTTCCTTTCAAAACCAAACATAGATATGCTAGATGACCCAGCAACTGAACTCTTGAGCTTTTATGCCAAAGAAATGAAAACTAAATTCACAAGAAAACCTGCACACAAATATTCATAGCAGCTTTCTTGATAACAGCCCTAAACTAGAAAGGTCGAAAAGCCCTTCAGCTTGTGAATGGTGAAACTGCGGTATGCCCACATCATGGAACGCTCCTTAGCAACACAAGGGAAGGAACAGCTGGTGCGCAGACTTCGTGAATCCCGAGGGAATTAGACTGCCTGAAAACAGACAACCCCAGAAGGTCACAGGCTGCAGGATTCTCTTTATATCACATCCTTGAAATGACAAAATTTTCGAGCTGGGCAACACATCAGGGCAAAGGGAACACAGGATGCCTCTGTTTTATTACAACCGCATGTGACTCTGTAATTACCTTGAAATAAAAAGTTTAATTAAAAAAGAAAAACTAATTAAAGGAATGCTTTTCTAGGACACTCTAGTACCCTCAAAGGCCTGAGCCATTACGACCGACGGAAGCCAGATGTCTGCCGTTGCAGGAAAAGCCTGATCTTTTCTTTCTTGTCCTGAGTAGCCTGTTTAGCATCCTCTCAGTTACAACACACAGGATACAGAGAAGGCATTTCCCACAGGAGACTGATATATTAAAAATTCAATTTTCTGCGGGCAGACACAGTTTAGGTCTATTTTTTAAGAAAGATGTTTAGCTACAAGTATGAAAGGCTTTGCAAGGGAAATATAATCGTGAAAGGAAATGGCGTTGAAGGCCTGGAACCGGATGCCTGCTGACACAGGCATGGAGTTCGTGGCTGTTCCCCAGGCCGGGGCCATCTGCTCTCTGAACCCCTGACCCCTAGGGAAACCTCACTCACCTGAACTCACTGATGGAAAAAGCTGTCTCAGAAGCATTTAAACACCGGGATAGCACATTTATAAGTGAAAATGTTTAAACGCTTACAAGTACATTTGGTGATGCGTGTGATAACACAGAACAGTGAGAGCAAGGTGAGGCGGGGGGCTAGTGGTGGATGCCAGCTCCTCTAAAGGGCCTCTGAACGCCTCCGGGGTCCCATCCCACTGGACAGGGAGGGGCTGCGGCCTTGTCCGGAGAGGCTCACTGAGCCCAGGCAGGCCGGGCTGCTTGGAGGTCCTCCTTCCTCCAGGCTTCTGGAACGCACCTGGCTCTCCACATGCACGGGACCCAGTGGGGTGCTCCCTGTCTCCCTCACCAAACCTCCTAAGGCTCGGCAGGGAAAACAGCCAGGCGAAGCAGTGGGGCTGCAGGAGGGAGGGAGGCGTGGGAGTTTGCAAGAGCCAGGCAGGGTGCATGAGGACCAGTGGGGGCAGGAAGGGGCCGGCGTGGGCCTGGCACCTAGATCCACCTCAGATGGGGGACTGGAGCAGGCTGCTGACCGCTACCTCGACACAAACGTGAAAAACCACACTCATGGTTTCTACCTATACAGGTGCTTCCAAATGACTAGTACAACTTTGAAAATATCTCATTTAAATAATTTAAACACATATTTTAAAATATATTGAGATATTAGTTACATGAATAATTCATTTGAAACAGATTTAAAATGCACCCTTTGAGAAGAACTGTAATATTCCCAACACAAAGAAACAATCAATGTTTGAGGTGATGGACATCCCAGTTACCCCAACTTCATCATTAAACATTGGTGTGCAGGCATCATAATATCACATGGACCCCCAACTATGTACAACTATTATATATCAACAAAAAATAAATTTTTTGGCCGGGTGCGGTGGCTCATGCCTGTAGTCCCAGCACTTTGGGAGGCCAAGGCGGGAGGATCACGAGGTCAGGAGATCGAGACCAGCCTGGCCAACATTTTGTTAAGACCCCGTCTCTACTAAAAATGCAAAAATTAGCTGGGCGTGGTGGCAGGCGCCTGTAATCCCAGCTACTGGGGAGGCTGAGACAGAAGAATCGCTTGAACCCGGGGGCGGAGGTTGCAATGAGCTGAGGTTGTGCCACTGCACTCCAGCCTGGGTGAGAGAGCAAAACTCTGTCTCTAAAAAAAATAAATAAACACATTGTTTAAAAATGCAATCTTCAATGAGGTATTCTCCTCCAATTTTCATAAATTTCTACCTAGTCGAGTTTATACTGATATGATTTTATTATACTTTATTCTAACACAAATTTTAGAAACGGTGTTTCCGACCTTTTCCTGCCTTGATTGGTTCGTGTGTTCCCATAATGGTTTTAAATTCCACCAGTCCTGGTGTGGGATGCTGACGGAGGGGAGGCTGTGGTGTGCGTGTGTGTGTGTGTGTGTGTGTGTTGGGCGGAGGGGCAGTGGGTACACCCACTCAATTCTGCTGTGAACCTAAAACTGCTCTAAAAAGACATAAACAAACAAAAATTAAAGGTAAAAAAAAAAATGTAGTAGGGAGCTTGGGCCTATACCCAATAAAACACATTTTTTTTTTTGCCATTTTTTTGGTCTGTTTTGCCAAAGAAAATAAAAACTTTAAAAAAAATTATTTGTATTTTAAAAATGTTTTGAGAGACAGGGTCTTTCTTGGTCGCCCAGGCTGGAGAGCAGTGGCTATTCACAGGCACGGTGAAGCCTGCTGAGTGGCCTCCGACTCCCAGGCTCAGCGATCCTCCCTCCTCAGCCTCCTGAGTGGCTGGGACTGGAGGCGCGAGCCACCGCACCTGGGTAAAACTTATTTTTAAACTGTTAGTGGACTTCACCAGGGTAAATATGTCGGGTGTCACTTACTCGCAGCTTTCGACTTTGTTTCCGAACGAGCTTGCCGTGCTGAATGAAATGAACAGGACACTGGTTCATGGCATTGTCTGCTTTATGTCGAAGCCAGTCTTCATAACCCTAAAAAAAGGAAGCAAAGAAGGGAGAGAGGAAGTGGAGACAGAGGGAAGGAGGAGAAAGGGAGGGAGAGACAGAAGGCTTGTGTTTAATTATGTCTAAGCATAATCCAAGCCTGTGGGGGTGTATTTTTTCAAAATCAGGATGCGTTACACACATTATTCTTTGTATCCTCAACAGAGCATTAGCATATTCCCATGGCAATGCGAGCTGCTTTAAATGTCTGCAGTTGTAGAACTGCAAAGACGTTGGATAAAGACGCTCATCGAAGTCTGTATAAGTACTATATAACTGTACTTTTTGTGCCTATTCATGACATGGCCTTAGGATAAATTCCTAAAAAAGAAGTGTCTGAATGAAATGACGAGCAAGCCTTCCAGTTTCTTCACATCCACACCGAAAAGCCCTCAAGACTCCAGTGGGGCCAGGCACATTTCCACCCGCTGAGTGTCAATCTTCTGCTTGGAAAAGCCCCCAGTGGCCATTCTTCTCTTTCATTAAAAACTGGCTGTTATGAGATCTGGCAGCCCAGACTCTCGGTGAACCACCGGCTCACTCTGCGACACCTGCAGCAGCCTTAGGGTTCTCCATGCGTTTCTGCGTCTGGGTAACCAACGTGGGAAACATCGCATCGTGACTCCTGTGCACGCGCAAGCATCCTGCTGGAAAAGCAGCCCGAGCTAACCCCGACCCCAGCCGCGCTGCCAGACCTGCATGCCTTTGACAGGCACAGACACCCGCACTCCAATTCCAACTACCAAGGCACACCCTCTGCTTGGACAGTCAGGTGGTATCTTGAAAGCAGCAACAACAGGAGATGCAGCACGCAGACAATTCCTGGGATGACGAACATGCCTTTGTGTCTGGCGTTGCCGGATGCACGTGCCTTAGATAAGGATGGGGAATGCTGTCCTCAGTAACAACCCCCAGCATGTGAGAGACTGCACACCAGGGGCCTACAGGCGTCCACCGCGTCTAATGAGCGTCAAGACTGGGAACACAGCTCTGCCACACACAATACACAACCATGCAGGATGGCAGCAGGAAGCCTACGCCATGGGCCCGCTGCACATATGTTGAGAGAGCCTGTAGGGCAGGAGGCTCACTGGGGGGCCTCCTCCCTATGGGCCACGTGGCGGCATCAGTGGCCCTGTGACTGGAGTCTTTTCCAAAGGGAACATTAACAAGGAACTCAAAACCTCCAGCTTCTGGAGAATTAAGAAGCCTGGGATGCATGGATATCCAAACATGCGGAGCTTTCTCCAGCCGTGACCACTACTGTGACACTGTGGCATCTGACTGCTTTTCAGAGATTCCTCCCAAATCGCTGAAATACTCTTTCTGGGGAAATTGAAGAACAGTCTTCCTGGAAGGTGGCAGTGGGTAGATGATTCCTGGGTTCATTAAACACACTTATTTAGCACCAACTGCATGCTCAGTAAGTGCCAAGCACCAGGGTTCCACAGACAAAAGACCTTGTCCCCAGCGCTGCTGCTCTCAGGATCGGTGGGGAAGAAACAGAAGTAACTGCAAGTTCAGTGCAGGTGAGAGACACCCAGCACCCCCGAGAAGCCCAGTGCCCAGGCTGCGGAAAGACGCCAAAGAGGAGGTTGCCCAGGAATGCCCAGCAGTGAGGGAGTCCCCAGGGGCTGGCACTGCCCACTGGCCAGCCTGGCTGGAACCGGAGGGACACGTGAAGGCCCAAGCATGTGACTGGCTGATTGGAGGGGCCCTGCACACAGCAGGGGTGGCTGGGTGCCACAGGGAAAGGCTGCTCTAGCAGGACCTGGGCGATGGCAGTGGCAGAGCCAGGTGCAGTGAGATGCACGTCAGTGCCCAGGTGAGACACCGGGGAGATGGTGTGAAAAGAGAGGTGGGAACCTAAGAGAAAATCAGGGAGGCCTCTGTGAGTGCAGGGGGCTTTCCAAGGCAAGCGAGGAGGGGCCGGGAGCATAGGGACCCCAGCACAAACGTCCCTGCTGGAGCCAGCGTGTGGGGAGGCCGTTTGCGAAAGTCGCAGCTGCGGACAGAGCTGCCGTTCCCGAGGAAGAGGGACAAGGAGGTCAGTAGTCGGGGAAGGCCGAGGGGGCGGGGACACTCTGGCGCACACTGGTCCAGACCAGCAGTAGGGGAAGCGAGGCCGTCCCCAGAGTGAAGGCTGGGTAGCAAGACGCGCGGGAGAGGAAGAGACCCCTCCGGCCAGGGGCAGGGGTGCTGGTGATGGGGCCCAGACCTGCAGCTCTGTTCATTCACCACCTTGCCCTGACCCCTCTTAACACCCCCAACAACACCCGCCCACTGCCCTGGGATGGGAGGGGACGCAGCCAGGGAAGGGACACAGCCAGGCTGATGAGAGGGGACACAGCCAGGGAGGGGACACAGCCAGGCTGATGAGAGGGGACACAGCCAGGGAAGGGACACAGCCAGGCTGATGAGAGGGGACACAGCCAGGGAGGGGACACAGCCAGGCTGATGAGAGGGGACACAGCCAGGGAGGGGACACAGCCAGGGAGGGGACGCAGCCAGGCTGATGAGAGGGGACACAGCCAGGGAGGGGACGCAGCCAGGGAGGGGACACAGCCAGGCTGATGAGAGGGGACACAGCCAGGGAGGGGACACAGCCAGGGAAGGGACACAGCCGGGCCGAGGACACCGCATGTTGTCTGGGGCCATGGTCTGCACAGTGTAGACAAGCAGCCTCTGCATCCATGGGGGCTCAGGCTCCCCGGCTCAGGCTGCCTCTCTGGCCCAGATGCGTCTTCAGAGCCGCCCTCCCTACTCCGCGCTCTCCCCTCCTCTCCTCTCCTCCAGGACGCTCCTGGAGTCCTCAGGAGTTTCCCGCTCAGTGGGGTCCCAGGAGGGATGGAGTCTTTAACAAACGCAGAGCAGAGGACGCTGAAGAACAGTGCTGTGCCTGCCTCCCGGGGCCGGGCTGGAAAGGACATAGTCCCAGAGCCTCAGCGGTCTCCTTCCCGTCTGCAGCCTCTGCTCCCACCACACAGATGTGTCACAGACAGCATGGGACGCCCTCACCTAATCTCCAAGATGGGTTCCTGGAAACTGCGACTTTAGGCCCGAGGACACACAGCAGGTCCCCGAGTAACATCGTTTCCTTCAGCACCATTTCCTTGTGAAGTTGATGAGAAAACCTGTCCTCTTGCTTAAAGTCGAAGTTTGCAAGAGCCACCGACACGGAGTGAGGCCTTACCCCAGGTAGGGGCTAAACTGCCTGAGTCACGGGCAGTGAGTCCTTGGGAAACGTGAGTTTCCCTCACGTTGTTTTCCAGGCAGCGCAGTTCGTCTTGGCTACTGTGCTGTGTCCTGCCCTGCCCTGCCCTGCAGAGGAGCCGCCCATTTCCTTATGGGAGACCCTGGGCTGCCCGAGTCCTTTGCTAACCAATGACGGCCACCATGAATATCCCAGTCCACGTACCCTGGTAGGCACGGCCGGCTCTGGCCTAGTGAAGACACACAGGCCCCATGTACTGACTACACAGCTGCATGTTTATCATCTGCACCGGCCCCTGTGTGTCAACATCTCTGCCTGTGTCAGATGTTGCCACCTGCTGTGCTTGGTGGCTCCGCCACGCTCCTGCCGGGTGCCCGTGGTGCCTGCCTCGCCACGCCCTCTCCAGACTTGCACATCTGAAAGCCGATCTGGTGGGTGTGAAACACAAATGTGCTCAGCAGCATGATTCAGAGCAGCTAAAACGCAGAAACACCCCAAATGTCCATCCACAGAGGAAGCCATACACACACTGCGGGGTGTGCGCGGCGGACCGTGACTCATTCATCAGATGGAACGAAGCGCTGACGCCTGCTCAGATGCGGAGAAACCTTGAAAACATCGTGCTAAGTGAAAGAGCGAGTCACAAAACACCGCACATGAGCCGTGAGCATGAAATGTTTAGAATGGGCAACTCTACGGTGACAGAAACGTGAGTCTCTGCCAGGGACGGGGAGGAGAAATTGGGGAGTGACTGAACATGTGTACGGGGAATCTGGGGGTGATAAAATAGATACATGGAGAGTAAAACTGAGATGTATTCTTCTCCATGTTTGTCACTGGCTTTATTTACCAGGGCTATGAAGGAAAAACAAACCAACCAACAAGAAACACCACCCCATTTGCCGGAGTCCATAAACAGCATGTTCTCAGGTGGTCAAGAGAGTCAAGGATGCGGAAAGGTTAAGTGACTCATCTGAATCAGATCATCCCTGGGTGATCTAGGATGTGAAAACCATAGATTTCTTCTCAAATTCACATGGCGACAGAATAGCAACGAAATGACATAACATCTCTTATTTTGCTACAAGTATCAACACAGTTATAAAAATGAATTTCTACAACTTGGTTGAATTTTCCATGAACTAGCTGAAACGAACCAATTACCTCGCTTCGAATGAAAGGCAATTCACATGGCAAAGATGGCGACTTGCTTGCGTTTCGTCTGTAAAATGCTTACCTGTTTGATAGCCGTGACAGTAATGACGAAGAAGAGTGGAAGTCCACTTGTCACTGGACTTGTGGGTGTATCAATAATCAACTGTAGAAAGACAGAATTGTAAAATCATCTTCAAAAATGCAAATGACTGACTTTAGGCAGGTTAGTTTGCCCTGAGCCAGCACTTCCCATTCGCTCTGACTTATTTAAACCCTTTGCTGGCACCTGACTCTGCCCACCACAGGAGACAGCAACTCAATCATCCTATTTCACTGACTGTTAAAATGAGGGCACCTTTTTTAAATTAAGAAACATGCTCAAGGAAACCACGGGGAGTGGCCGACACAGTCTGAAGTCAGGGCATGCCTTGTGTTAATTCATCCCTCGGCTTCAGTGTCACATTTTAATTACATGATTTGAATAATGTTGCAAAAATTTTAAAAGTCCTTCAACAGTATTTTGTAGGATTTAGAAAAATTAGAGGGCTGTTCTTAAAACACACCTGGCACATTGCTCCCTAACTCATACCCCAAGACATTTTTTCCCTCTTTTTTTCTTTAAACTCTCTTTTCATGTGTACTGTCTTTGGATTTTCTTTTTCTTTTCTTTTTTTTTTTTTTTTTTTTTTTGAGACAGAGTCTCACTCACATCTCAGGCCTGGAAATGTTAGAGGTACGATTTCGGCTCACTGCAACCTCCCACTCCTAGGTCCAAGCGATTCTCCTGCCTCAGTCTCCCGAAGAGCTGGGACTACAGGCGCACGCCACCACGCCCAGCTAATTTTTGTATTTTTAGTAGAGATGGGGTTTCACCATGTTGGTCAGGATGGTCCCTATCTCTTGACCTCGTGATCCTCCCTGAGTGCTGGGATTACAGGCGTGAGCCACTGCGCCTGGCCTGGATTTTCTTTAGAACATCCACACACATTTATGAAGAGTAAAGTAAGTGGAACAATGCATAGCTTGGCTGTGAACTTGTCCAAAAGATAACAAAGCTCTGACTTCCCCTTTGGTACTAGAAGGAGAGGGGCAGGAAAGGTAGTCACCAACTTAAACCCAAAGTGGCGTTGTGTGTACTAATTTAGCTCGTGTGGATCTCACAGAACCAACACGTTTTGTCCTTCCTTAAGAAAATAAATAAATGAATCGTAGGTGAAGGGCACCACGCCCTTGCGCTTTCATTAGTCGTGTGGCAGTTACCTGAGAATAAAATGTCACTTATTTAGATTTATATTTGATGAGATGGAAAACAATGACCGGCCTTACCTGCACCAGAAATATGATAAGGAAATAAAAGTTGGCTACTCTTCTGAATTGTTCAAATAAATTCTTGGGTATAAAGTTCCAAAATGTGTACTGCATAAAAGAAAAACAAACATCCATCATTTAGATCAGATTTTACTCTCATAGTGTTACTCTAGGCATAGTAAGTAGCACTGGATTTTACAGTACAAAATGTTTAGCTTTAGATATAAAACTCGTAATTCATAATTTAGAGTGTTTGTTGACAGCTAAGACGGCTGAAACAAAGTGTGTACTCTGAAACATGTATGTAAATTACCGAACTCCAGAGAATTCAAGATAAAACGCAAGGTAGCTCAACAACAGTTTGATTATTGAGATGTCTTTTATAAAATGTAAACCTGTGATCATTAACTCAACACATTAGCATTTTACTTCAGTAATTTCTGCATGATCTCTCCTCTGAGTGACAGCATGACGGGTGATGACAGCGAGCTGAATGGAAGCCTTCACCCAGCTCCAGGCGGCTTCTGAGGCAGAGGTGTTTCTTGTCCACAGCCCAGGCACAAGGGCTTTGAGGCCTCAGGGGGAAGGAGAGGAAAAGGAAGCGAAGGAGGGCAGGGAGGGGATGTCGGGGAAGTGAAGTGAAGGAGCGGGGGAGTGAAGTGAAGGAGGGAAGGAGGGGAACGAGGGAAGGAGGGGAAGAAAGGAGGAAAAGGAGGGTAAGGAAGGTAAGGAGGGCAGGGAGGGAAGGGAGGGGAAGGAGGGAAGGAGTGGAAAGAGGAGAAGGAAGGAGGAAAAGGAAGGAGGAAAAGGAGGGGAAGAAAGAAGGAAAAGGAGGGGAAGGACAGCAAGGAGGGGAAGGAAGAAGGAAAAGGAAGGGAAGGAGGGCAGGGAGGGGAGGGAGGGGGAGGAGGGGAAGGAGGGCAAGGAGGGGAGGGAGGGGAAGGAGGGAAGGAGGGGAAGAAGGGCAGTGAGGAGAAGGAGGAAAGGAGGGGAATGAAGGAAGGAAGGTAGGGAGGGTTAGGAGGGGAAGAAAGGAGGAAAGGGAAGGGAAGGAGGGAAGGAGAGGAAGGAGGAAAAGGAAGGAGGAAAAGGAGGGAGGAAAAGGAAGGAGGAAAAGGAGGGAGGAAAAGGAGGGGAAGGAAGGAGGAAAAGGAGGGGAAGGAGAGGAAGGAGGGGGAATGCCCAGTCACCACAGCCTCTCCTCTCCACACTTCTCATTTTGCCTCTGTAGCAGTTTCATTCAACTTCTGTGTTGAAAACAATGTCCCAGATGTCACAAACCTTCACTGAGTTTGGAAATAGTTCCTAAAATTTCATCTGACATGTTTTTACGCCATAATGAAGACAGTCTACCGAAACCTGAGGGAAGTCTCCCAGCCTGTGCTGCGGCCTCTGCCGTCTGTGTCTCTTCAATGGTGCTTACTTCAAAACCCCATTCCCAGGTGGGTTCTGGCTCCGGGAAGCCAGAAGTAGTTGTCAAATTCTCACACCAAGAACTTCTTGAATTCCAGGCTCATGAACATAAGTTATTTACAATTCAATGTAACAACTAAAGCCTGGTATGGTCCTAAACTAACCAACATATTCTGAATTTGCTGTTTACAAATATTTCAGAGGAAATCTACGTGTGTCTTTTAAAACTTCTCTGCCTCAAGTTTCCAGTGGCTTAGAGAGTATATAAGGAATTTCCATTTTCTACTCTAATCCACATTCACAAAGTGATTTTATCTTTCATAACAAAGTTCCTTAATGAGGGTAAAAACCAAGTAATGGTTCCCCCAAGTTCACGACAACTATGGCCGTATTTTCAGTTCCCTTCTCAAGTTGACTGTAATGAAAAGGGCAAGGGGTGCTCCAGGAGAGTCTCTAGAGTTTTAAAAAAGAAACTTAACTTTCCAGGTCCTCCCTAGCTCATCCCGCCCTACCCATCCAAACACCCTTATTTTCCATGTGTTGTTTGATACCAGATTTTTATCAGATATGTGTTTTGCAAATCTGTTCTCCCAGTCAGTGGCTCGTATTTTAATTCTCTTAACTGTATTTTGCAAAGCATAAGTTTTTAATCTTCATGAAGTCCAACTTACCAATTTTCTTTTCATGAAGAGTGTTTCTGGTGTTATATCCAAAAATTTGTTGCCAAACCCAAGGTCACCTAGACTTTCTCCTACATTTCTATGAGTTTCATTGTTATACATTTTACATTTAGGTCTATGACTCATTTTGAGTTAATTTTCTTGAACTGTGTATGATCACTGTCTATAGTCACAGTTGCTGGTTTTTTTTTTTTTTTTTTTTTGCATGTTGTTTTTCTAGAACTATCTGTTGAAAAGAAATAGTGCTTTTCTGTCTGCCCTGAATTGCCTTTGCTCCTTTGTCAAAGATGGGTTGATTATCTGGGTGGATGGGTTGACTCTCTGGGTGGACGGGTTGACTATCCGGGTGGACGGGTTGACTATCCGGGTGGACGGGATGACTATCCGGGTGGATGGGTTGACTCTCTGGGTGGATGGGCTGACTCTCTGGGTGGATGGGCTGACTGTCTGGGTGGATGGGTTGACTATCTGGGTGGACGGGTTGACTCTCTGGGTGGACGGGCTGACTGGTTGGATGGGTTGACTATCTGGGTGGAGGGTTGACTCTCTGGGTGGACGGGTTGACTCTCTGGGTGGACGGGTTGACTCTCTGGGTGGATGGGTTGACTCTCTAGGTGGACGGGTTGACTCTCTGGGTGGACGGGTTGACTCTCTGGGTGGACGGGTTGACTCTCTGGGTGGATGGGTTGACTCTCTAGGTGGACGGGTTGACTATCTGGGTGGATTTACTAAGTAGGTCAACTCCCAGGCTCTCTATGACATTTCATTGATCTATTTGTCTATTCTTACAGCAACACCACACTGTCTGGATTACTACAGTTTTACAGTAAGTCCTAAAGTTGGCTAGTGTCAGTTCTCCAACTTGGTTCTTCAATACTGCGAGGCTATGCTGGGTCTTTTGCCTTTCCACATAAATGTAGAATCAGTTTGTTGGTAGCTACAAAGTAACTTGCTGGGAATTTGATTAGGATTGTATTGAATCTACAGGTCAAAGTGGGAAGAACTGACATCTAAAAAACATGGAGTTTTCCCATCCACGAAGATGGAACATCTCTCCATTGGCTTAAATCTTCTTCGACTTCACTACAGTTTTGTCGTTTTCCTTACCTAGACCTTGTACGTATCCTGTTAGATTTACACCTATGTAATTTGGCGGGTGGGGGGATAAATGTAAATAGTATTGAGTTTTAAACTTCAAATTCCAACTGTTCATTGCTGGCGTATAGGAAAGTGATTAATTTTTGAATCCTGCAACCATGCTATAATCGCCTCCAACATCCAGAAGTTTTCTTGTTATTGTTGGTTCTCTGGGATTTTCTGCATGGGCAATCATATCACTTGTGAACAAAGATAGTCTTATTCCTTCCTTCCCAATCTGTATGCCTTTTATTCCCATTTCTACTCTTACTGTATTAGCTAGGATTTCCAGCACAATGCTGAATAGGAACAGTGATGAGGGATTCTTGCCTTTTTTCCAATCTTAGGGTGAAATCATGTAGTTTTTCACCATTAAGTATGATGTTAGCTATAGGGCTTTTAGTAGATGCTCTTTACGAAGCTGAGGAAATTCCCCTCTGTTCTTAGTTTGCTGCAATACGTGAGTGGGTACTGAACTTTGTCAAATTCTTTTACTGCACCTATTGAAAAAATCATGTAAGTTTTCTTTTTTAGCCTGTAAATATTATGGGTTATATTAGTCGATTTTCAAATGTTGGATTAGCCTTGCATACCTAGGATAAACCCACTTGGTCATGGTGATGAAAGAGAGTGACCCTCTCATATTGTTACATATTGTTTTATACTCAGTACCTGTTTTAAGAAAAAAACAAGGAAGGAAAACCAAAGACAGGCGGCCCGGCGCCAGGCCTGAAACCAGGCCTGGGCCTGCCTGGCCTAAACCCAGTGGTTAAGAATCAACTCATAATTTAGAAACTGATGTTATTCATAGATTCCAGACATTGTATAGAAGAACATTGTGAAACTCCCTGCCCTGTTCTGTTTCACTCTGACCACGGGTACATGCAGCCCCTGTCGTGTACCCGCTGCTCGCTCAAATCAATCACGACGCTTTCCTGTGAAATTTTTAGTGTTGTGAGCCCTTCAAAGGGACAGAAGCTGCACGCGGTGGCTCAAGCCTGTAATTCCAGCACTTTGGGAGGCCGAGATGGGCAGATCACGAGGTCAGGAGATCGAGACCATCCTGGCTAACATGGTGAAATCCCGTCTCTACTAAAAAATATAAAAAACTAGCCAGGCGAGGTGGCGGGCGCCTGTAGTCCCAGCTACTCTGGAGGCTGAGGCAGGAGAATGGGGTAAACCCGGGAAGTGGAGCTTGTAGTGAGCTGAGATCCAGCCACTGCACTCCAGCCTGGGCGACAGAGTGAGACTCTGTCGCCCCAAAAAAAGGGACAGAAATTGTGAACTCGGGGAGCTCGGATTTTAAGGCAGTAGATCGCCGATGCTCCCAGCTGAATAAAGCCCTTCCTTCTACAATTCAGTGTCTGAGAGGTTGTGTCTGTGGCTCGTCCTGCTACAATGGTGTATAGTTCTTTTTATACATTGTTGAATTCGATTTGCTAATATTTTATTGAGAATCGCTGCTTCTATGTTCATGAGAAATATTGGTCTGTGATATCGTCTTTCTGGTAATATCTTTTTCTGGTTTTGGTTTTAGGGTAACGCTGGCCTCATAGAATGAATTAGAAAGTGTTCCTTCTGCTTCTATTACCTGGAAGAGACTGCAGAAAACTGATTTTTTTTTTTTTTTTTCCTGAAATGTTTGATAGAATTCACCAGTGAAAACATCTGAGCCTTGTGCTTTCCGTTTTGGAAGATTATTAATTATTGATTCCATTTCTTTAATTGATGTAGGCCCACCCAGATTATCTTTCTCCTTGTTTGAGTTTCAGTAGACAATGCTTTTCAAGAAACTGGTCAATTTTACCTAAGTTATCAAGTTTGTGGGTGTAGGGCTGTTCATAATATTCCTTTTAATCTTTTTATTAGCTATGCCAC